TTGTAGAGCGTTATTTTGATTTTATTGCTGCGGAAAAATTTAATATTTCTGTAAAGAAATCCTAACATTTTGGTGGCACGTTTTGTAATATATTCCATATGAGGCACGAATGTGAGTTTGCTGTCGAATATGACGCCTAAATCCTTGGTCTCTTGTAGTTCCTGTAAATTATTATTGCCTATATGATAACTGTAGTGAACTAGATTCATTTTCCGAGCAAATTTTACGTAGAAACATTTTTTTGCATTGAGTTCCATCTTATTCAAATTACACCAGTGAAAGATATTGTCAAGATCGCACTGGAGTTTACGTGCATCATCTGTCGTTTCAATTATTCTGCAAAATTTTAAGTCATCAGCATACATGTAAGATTCAGAAAATTTTAGGCACAAAGGCAGGTCATTAATATAAACATTAAACAGAAGTGGGCCCAGGTGAGATCCCTGTTGTACGCCAGATGTGATTTTACGCAAACTCGACTTAAAGCCATTGATGACCACATAAAAAGTACGGTCGGTTAGATAAGACCAGATCCATTGCATTAAACCATTACAGATTCCATATGCGGACAGTTTTTTTAGGAGTACACTATGTGAAATGCGATCAAAAGCCTTACTAAAATCCGTGTATATGACGTCAACTTGTTTATTGGCATCAAGTGCTTCATAAAGAGTTTCAGTGAAGCTTACCAGATTAGAGTTTGTTGATCTACATTGAACAAACCCGTGTTGCTTATCACTAAGTAATTGCTTAAAATGATCTTGTAGAAATGGACATATCAAAGCTTCAAAAATTTTAGCAAATGATGACAGTATTGAAATGGGCCTGTAGTTTTTTACTGAATCTTCATTTCCCGATTTATGAATAGGAATAACCTTTGCAATTTTCCATTTAGCCGGGAACATGCCTGTTGAGAGTGATTTATTGTAAATTAATGACAGGGGTGATACTAAATATTTAGCACATGCCGCTATAAAAACGGGTGGGATCCCATCAGGGCCGGGACCTTTATTACAGTCAATACTTTTTAATTTTTTTGAAAGTGATTCGTTATCGATAACAATAGGCGAAAGATGTAGACTATAGTTTTCTAAATAATTTAAATAATTAGAGAGAACGTAATTATTCGAAGCATTGTCAACCCCGTCAGTATATACAGATGCAAATTGAGATGAGAATAGTTCACATACTTGTTCCCCATCTGTAGCAGTTACATTTCCGTCAGACATTGAAATAGGGTATGCACTAGTACCTCCGCGTTTGTTTTTTATGAATGACCAAAATGATTTTGAATTACTGGCTATTTGCTTCTCCAAGTTGCTAATGTAACGATTATAGCACTCTGTTGCCATTCGTCCACAACGAGAACTTAATAATTGTAACTCTAATTCATCCATAGGATTTCGATATTTTTTAAACCGACACCTGATTTTATATTTATCTTTAAGGGTTCTAATAAGATTTTTATCAAACCAAGGTGGGTATTTATTATTTCTTATTTTCTTCTTAGGGACAAACTTTGCAATAATGGCGTTAATTTTGCTATAGAATGTTTCAAGCATGACATCTACACTATGATGACCCTTAAAAATATTTTCCCAGTTGCATTTTGACAATTCCTTATTTATCTTTTCATAATCCCCTTTGTAAAAGTTTAACTTAATAATATTATTATTAAAACAGAGTTTTGTTTCATTAATCAACGTAATATCAACCTCAAGAGGTGGATGTAATTGATCAATAATACTTAATGAGTTATGAGAACGGCTCACAGTACAAGATGGCAAGTTAGATAAAACAAGATCGAGAACTCGGTTTGACGCATTAACTATATGATTAAGTTGTTGTAAACCATTCATATGTGTAAAGTCAATTAGGAATTGATTTAGTCTTGTTAGTTTGTTATCACTCGCGACATGACCTAACAAACTCCAGTTAATACTAGGTAAATTAAAATCACCAATTATACAATGACTATCACATTGTTCGAAAACAAAACTACAATTATCTAAAAAATGCTCTAACAAAGAATAATGTACTGGTGGCGGTAAATAAACGACACAAAGAGCTATCTTGCGAATAGTTTTTGAAACCGTTGCATCTATTACAACCCAAAGATCTTCAACTTTAGATTCCCACTCAAACGTACGACGAGACTTTATTTTTCTGGACACAGCAATTAAAACTCCACCTCCATCTTTTTTAGAACAATAATCAGCATCCTCTCTATCTTTTCTGTAGACAATATATCGTTGATCAAAAAGCTCATTATTAAGAACAGATTTATTTAACCAAGTTTCCGTGAGTACTACTACATCGTAATCGCAACAAAGAATTTGCTGATAAAAAAAGTTAGTTTTTGTTCTCAAACCCCGCGTATTTTGATAATACAAATTTAGAGAAGTGAATTTTATATATAATTTGTTCATAAAGTTTAAAAGCCACAATATACTTAACTACTAAATTTACTTAATAACTAAATTATTCTATTTTTTGTAGCATGTCTTTGTTTCTGACGTGGATATAATTTGCTTCATCATTCTTTCGCATAAAGATTCGGCTATTTCTTATCCAAACATATTGGTATCCCTTTTCTTTTGCTTTTAGTCTAACTGCAGCGTGAAGAGCTTTGTTCGAAGGAGACAGATGCTCAGCCACAAATACAGGAGAAGAATTGCCAGGCACTCCTAAAAGAGTGCTATTCAATTTATTTGCAGGGTTTCTTTTATTATATTTAATTACAGATGCAAGGAGCTCATCGCGTTTTCTTGGGGACGCCAGTTGTAGAATGATAGACCGTGGACGAGTATTATTTCTATTCACCTTTGTGATGCGCGTGTAGTGTATAATGTCATTATCATTCAAAACACAACCCACGGTTTTACTTAACTGCGTAATGATATTTAATAAGTTTTCATTTTTATGCTCTGGCACACATTGCCGTTCAATATTATTCTGACGCGCATGCTGCTCCATTAGGTCAACACGCAAGTTTAAATCATTAATTGTACTCTTCAATATGTCTTTCTCTTTTTCCAATTCGCTTATTTTCATTTTAGAGTATTCGTTCTCCCTCTTCATATCTTCATATTGGCTATTAAGAAAATTCATAGACTCACTTATCTGTAATAACTCATCCCGTACTGGTTTCAGCTCATTATTAAGGATGTTGATTATACTCTCTTGCATTTTTGAAACTATGTTACTCGTGCTCTCTTTAATGATGTCCTGCACCACTTCCCGAATAATTTCCTTGCTCATAACAATGTTTTCACTTGAAATCGGAGGAGAGTTAGGGGTAGTTCGTTTGCAACCCCTGGTGGAAACGTTGCGTACTGGAGTGTTATCATGTTTTGTTGCTTTTGGAGCAGCATTTAAACATTCAGGACAACACCAAAGGGATCGCATCTCAGCATTATATGCGGAGTACTCGAGGCACATACATGTGTAATGATATTTTTTATTACATTTTTTACATACAATATATTTCTCATTATTATCACCATGTGGTGTACAGCAACCCCAAATCATTTTTGACATCTTTAGATTTATTAGATAACAAATTATATTAGAGATTGTTATTGAAATAATTACACCTTCACTTTTGTTATGATAACGTTTGCCCCTTTAGTTCTTATGAACGTTACAAGCCAAAGGAACACTTATGCACATTACACAACCGTGAATGTCGCGTACTATTCACGCTGGAGTCCGTCGCAATAAGAATATCAATCCACCGCACAAAAGTCGCTTATAATCCAATGTAGGGAACAATTTTTTATAACTGATTTTAGTATATTTATACCCATTAAAAGTTATGTAATATAACACTATATGGTATTTATCAGATCACCATTTAAATTTTGATACACTGAATGAGAAAAAAGTTTGGAATATAATTTTAAAACGCTAGTTTACGGAACGCGTAACAACACCGATCGTCCAGTTCAGTTTTATTCGAAACATTTACTTAACTTGCAAACGTATTGCCCGCGCGCCTCCGCTTTTAACAAATTTATTCCCAAAAGCCTGGCTTTAAATCTCTATACTAATTGCTACATATACAATCGTAGTTATATTTCATTATAGAATATTTTGCCATAGGTTAGAAAGAGCGATCGTCTTCTCGAAAGTCCCGTAAAAAGCCCACGCGAGTGAGGGAGACAACTATTAGCTCTATTAAGACTCATTTTTTATGACAGCAGCAGTATCGCTAAGGCAATACGAGGTCATCGGTCGACATGTGTCGAACAGTGGAGTGCGCGGGAAATTTGAAATAGCTTGAAACATTTTACGAGTTATTTTATTAGTTGATATTATTGATTGATTCAGGTTTAATAAGGCAAGCCTGGCTTTTCGGCTTTAATGGAAGCTTCGCCACTGAACTCTTTCAAATTTGAAACAATATTTCCACAATTATTTCTGCGGCACCAGCTAGTATTTTTTTATAGGATAGGGTGACAAACGAGCACGCAGACCACCTGATGGTAAGTGGTTGCTGTGGTCCATAGACATCTACATCTATCCTCGATTACGAATCAAAATGCAGATGCGTTGTCACCCGTGAGGACTAAGATGGAATGCCTCGTTTCCAATAAAAAGAGTCTCCGGTTCTCTACACTCACCATACGATACACAACAGCATCAGGCTACTAATTTACGCTGGTAGGTATTCTGTGAGAGCGTGGTCCTTGCGCGGTCGAGCCCACCCATTCGTGCTACAACTATACTACTAATATATAACTGTAGCATGGCTCTACCACTCCAGAAAGTATACTATAATAATTTCTCTCTGCGTCTCAAATGTGTTAGTTGATTGTACAACACAAGAATATTCTAGATTTCTGGTGTAATAATCGAAGTAACAATGTATAATTTGAATATTTAAATATGGCTTAACAAAATATGTTGCGGATTTAGCAAGCTACAATTGCCGAAAGTGTTTTTTATTACTTCGATTAATAATTGTTTTATTTTAATTTAATAATTGTTCCTCACAGGCGGTGGAACTTTGGAACGTAACGCGCTATGAGGTCAAGATATATGCCGTCACTTTATCAGTAGCAAATCCCAACACTCTTATTAATGGATCGGAATCCCCTCCTGAGGTAAAATATTTTTTTACTGTACATATATGTTTTTGTTTTATTTCTTTTACAAACGAAGATAATTTATACAATAGAAATATACATTAAAATATATAAAATATGTAGTACTACGTTGATAATATTGTTAATGATAGTATTTTAAGATTACAAAAACTGCTTTTTATTGCCAATCTCGGGGCTAGTAATTATTAACCCTTTAGCCCCCAAGCGGTCTCATGAGACCGCGGCCATATTCCGTCAAATCCCTAGCGGTCTCATGAAGTCACACCCACCCACAGCACTTTAACCCATAAAAACTTATATATAGAGACTACTTTTCTATGAAGAAATTTGGCATAATCAATATGAAATACTCTATCCTCTAGTGCAATAAAAAAACTGTTATCCTATGAATATTTATTTATAATCTACGTTTATTTCGTACGCCATTTTCGCGTGAATGTTATTGTGTTGATTTTTTTGATTTTTCTAGTGTTTTATTAGTGTTTTAGTATAGTGTTTTATCATAAAATTGTAAGGATAGTTTTTGTGTGAATATAATTTATCTTTTTACGTAAATAATTTCGAGTAATATATATATTGAAATAATTGTGATTTTCACGCCGCCGACATTCGCTTGGTATGTTTTGTTTTTGTTATCAAAATACAATAGTCTTTTTGGAATGGACTAAAACCTGACTTTTATATAGAGAATTTTGTATAGATTTTATAATGCCAAACTTCTTCATAGAAAAGTCTCCAAATATCAGTTTTAATCGTTTTAAGTGCTGCGGGTGGGTGCCGTCGCATTCGACCGCTCGGGATTTGCCGGGCGGGAGAGCATTTTAAATTTGCATGAGAATTTTAAGGGGCCGAGGGGCTAAAGTGAAATTTTAAGCTTGAATATGTAATGGCAGAGTGAGAATATTCACTACCCCATATCCTCCTGTGGAACTGGAAATGGGCAGCGGCGTCTTCCTTGATAACATTTAGAAAAATATAAAAACTGCGATTGCCAACCCGCGTGCTAACGGGACAGCTATGGCAGGTGCCGCCCATATGAGACAATCTAGATGCAGGCTTTATTCAGTTGAAGACTTTGATAGGCTGTAATGATTATGGCGGTGATTTTTACCTGTGGCATCGCCGAAGATTTTTTTAATTTTTGAAAGATCACGAGGTAGGGAGGGATTTATTTGCGGTCAATACATGATATCCCATCTCCATTATTACAGTCTATTCTAATGCGATATTCTACAAATATAAGCAATTTTTGGCCACTCATTTCAATAATTTCGCAAAATGATTTGTTTGATGTTAATAAACACAGAACAAAACTGCCAAAAGTAAAAAGTACCATGCATCCATGTGTCGCACATCTGTGGACAGGCTTGAGATGGTTTGAAGGAGGGGATAATCCCAAAATAAAGTAATAAAAACTGTGTAAACACTAAGAACAAACACAAACTAGTGATACCAGTTTTCTGGACACCACAGAGCATCAATTCATTCTTGGGGTAAAGTATATGCTATAACAACAAAGTCCCAGAAAATATACAAGGTCTCTCTAGTTAGTCTAGTCTAAGTTTAAATAATTTAATTAAACAAAACTATAAAAAGGCTATTTTAATATATGACTACTGAATACATGGTTAATAATCCCTGAGAATGGGGTGGTCGTTTTGTAAAAAGTTTGTATAACCTTTCATGTTGTATACTTTACGTTAAAAGAAGACCCGCTGGGTTTCTAGCTGGCTCTTTACAGTGCAGAGGATTTATTTGATCCAGTGGTAAAGTAAAAAACGACTCAATAAGAATTACTTGTAATCTATGTATAGTCATCATCATCATCATCATTACAGCCCTTCACAAGTCCACTGCTGAACATAGGCCTCCCACAAGTAATGCCACAAAGCACTGTCCTGAGCCACCTGCATCCATCGACATCCTGCATATCTTACCAGGTCTCACTCCATCTAGGGGGGGGGGGTCGCCCTATACTACGCCTACCGGTACGAGGCTGCCACTCGAGAACCTTTCTTCCCCATCGGTTATCGGTTCTTCGAGCTATATGGCCGGCCCATTGCCACTTCAGCTTACTAATCCGTTGGGCTATGTCGGTCACTCTGGTTTTACTGCTGATATCCTCATTTCTGAGTCTATCATGGAGAGGAACTCCGAGCATAGCCTTCTCCATAGCTCGCTGAGCGACCTTGAGCGACCTCATACGGCCAACAGTGAAGGACCACGTCTCAGATCCGTAAGTCCACTGGCAACACGCACTGGTTGTATAATGGGAATAAAAAATTATTCTATTCTAGTTTACCGTACCTCCCCATTGTTGGGTTGGCATTTTGGCAGACTTTATAAAGACGTCTAAACTGAATATTGCTTTTGTTCCGATCGGAACAAACTCCTTCTCCTCATTAGCCAGTATGGTTTACTGTGGGACATTGGCCTATCCCATATTAGGCAAGTGTTGTCATAATCGCCACCCTTTGCAGGTGTATTTACTATCGCAATACCAGACATATGTTGTTAATGTGTTTTGACGCTGGTGGCCGACGCTGATCTATATATTTTGCGTCCGGCATAAACGAGGTGGTTATACCGCCACTTACCGGAAGGTGATGAGGTCTTTCAATTAAAAAGATTTTAATATGACAGGAGCAGTGGAAATATTCCATTCCCGATACTTTTAGTGCAGCCTAGTAACGTAATTCAAATGGTTCATGGCGTGTACTTTACGCACATAACTTACCGTAAAATTTAAACAAATTTATGTTATAAGTATCTATCTACTGATTACTCGATCATTGTGCAACCCCATGGTACTCACTTTTTGTACTGATAATAATTAATTTATAATTCTGATATACAAAGAGTATTGTAGTATGTAATGAAAATGTGCCGTGTAGTGGCGGTTAAGAATATCCACTACCCCATATCTTCCCGTGGATGTCGTAAAAGGCGACAGAGGGAGACAGGCAGGAGATGGGCAGCAGCATCTTCCTGATAACAGCAACTGTACGAAAAAAAAAACTGCGGTTGCCAAACCGCTCGCCAAGCGTGGCAACTATGGCAATATACCCCCCATGAACAATTACACAAATGGACGTCCCCCAGTCCCCCCCCGCTATTCCTGGCTACGGAGGCGACCATGGTAACGGCGGGGCAGGGGGTGCTAAGAATCTCCGGTGGAGGTTCGGTTGCCACCTACGACGACTCGACCTGACAACATTTAAAGCACGCACCCTGAGTACTGACGAGAAGATCCTGGAGCTGGAAGAAGAGATAGACAAGTTGCGCTGGAATATTATAGGATTATCCGAGGTCCGAAGAGAGGGGGAGGACACGGTGGTTCTCGAATCCGGCAACTTGTTCTATCACCGGGAGGGCGACCATCTGTCCCAAGGAGGTGTCGGATTTATCGTCCACAAGTCTCTCGTCAACAACATTGTAAAGATTGGGAGTGTGTCGACGAGGGTCGCGTACCTGATACTTAGAATCACCAAACGGTATTCGCTGAAGGTCATACAGGTTTACGCACCAACCTCGGCACATCCCGATGAGGAGGTGGAGGAAATGTATGAGGATATTTCTAGAGCCATGCATTCCTCCAAAACCCACTACACGGTGTTGATGGGAGACTTCAACGCAAAACTAGGCACAAGAGAAAACGGTGAGCTGAAGTTAGGGAAATTTGGTGTAGGGCAACGGAACCGAAGGGGCCAGCAGCTTGGCCGACTTTATGGAGGAAGAGGGGCTCTTTATGATGAACTCTTTCTTCCAGAAGCGGCCCCACAGGAAGTGGACCTGGTCGAGCCCCGACGGTTCGACAAAAAATGAGATTGACTTCATTATGACGACCAGACGCCAACTGTTCAGTGATGCCTCAGTGATCGCAAGGGTGAAAACTGGCAGCGATCACCGAATGGTTAGAGGCACACTAAACCTAAACATTAAGTTGGAGAGGTCTCGTCTAATGAAGTCAACGCTCCGTCCCCCTCGTGCTCTAATCCAGAATCCCGAAACCTTTCAGCTCGAGTTACGTAACCGCTTTCAGTGCCTAGAAGATTGCAATGCAGTGGACGATATGAATGACAAGCTTGTGGAAACTGTTCATGCGGTCGGAGCTAAGTTCTGCAAGACCCGCCGCAGAAGAACACAAAAACTCTCCTATCACTCTTAATCTCATGGCTGTTATACGGGAGATGAGGCTGCAATCGTTAACAGATTTGACAGCATAAGAACAGACAGATCTCTAAATGAGCATGCGGCGAGACTTACGCAATTTTAATACTGCTCGTATTGAAGAAGCGATCGAGTGGAACCAGGCTCCAAAGTCTTTGTCAGATATCTGTCTGCCAGAAGGAGCCAACTGTCAAAGCTGAAGAATGAGTGTGGCAGCATTGTTTCCGGGACACCTGAGATTTTGAGTGAGATTGAGAGGTTCTATGGGCAGCTGTACACATCATCGTTGGAGCCACACGCAAGTGTGAGTAACGATCCAAGAGCAAGTCTTATCCGACACTATTCCGAGCGAGATTAGAATGGCTCTCCAGCACCTTAAAAACGGCAGGGCCCCAGGCGAGGATGGAATTACAGCGGAGCTTCTGAAAGCGGGTGGAACACCGGTACTTGAAGTCCTTCAGAAGCTCTTCAATTCCGTCCTCCATGGTGGCACTACTCCAGAGGCGTGGAGCAGAAGTGCGGTGGTCTTGTTCTTTAAGAAAGGCGACAACGCTCTCTTGAAGAACTACAGACCGATTTCCCTTCTGAGCCGCGTCTACGTGCTATTTTCGAGAGTCATTACGAATCGTCTCGCACGCAGACTCGACGACTTCCAGCCTCCCGAACAAGCCGGTTTCCGAAAAGGCTTCAGTGCCATAGACCACATACATACCCTGCGGCAGATTGTACAGAGGACTGAAGAGTACAATCTGCCACTTTGCCTGGCGTATGTGGACTATGAGAAAGCCTTTGATTCCGTCGAAATTTGGGCGGTGCTACAGTCCCTTCAGCGGTGCCAAGTTGACTGTCGATATATCGAAGTGCTGAAGTGTTTGTACAGTAGGGCTACATGGCTATCCGAGTACAGAACCAGAGCTCGAAACCTATCCAACTGCAGAGAGGTGTAAGACAGGGTGACGTTATATCCCCGAAACTCTTCACCGCTGCATTGGAAGACGTTTTCAAGCTACTGGACTGGAAAGGATACGGTATTAACATCAATGGCGAGTACATCACTCACCTTCGATTTGCCGACGATATAGTCCTTATGGCAGAATCGTTGGAGGACTTAAGCACTATGCTCAATGACCTCAATAGTGTCTCCCAACGGATAGGTCTTGAGATGAACATGGACAAAACAAAGATCATTTTTAATTTCCATGTCACACCTATGCCGGTAGTTCTTGGGAGCACTATGCTCGAAGTTGTTGACGAGTACGTTTACCTGGGACAAATAGTCCGACGTGGCAATGGGCCGGCCATATAGCTCGAAGAATCGATAACCGATGGGGAAGAAAGGTTCTCGAGTGGCAGCCTCGTACCGGTAGGCGTAATGTAGGGCGACCCCCCACTAGATGGAGTGACGACCTGGTAAGATATGCAGGAAGTAGATGGATGCAGGTGGCTCAGGACCATGCTTTGTGGCATTACTTGGGGGAGGCCTATGTTCAGCAGTGGACTTGTCAAGGGCTGTAATGATGATGATGATGATGAGGTCTTCACGGCATTTATACGTGGTAGAGCCATGCTGCAGCTATTTTATTATTGTAAGAAGAATGGCTCGGCTCCACCGGGAAAGGACCATGGTCCAACAAAATACGCTTGTTTGTCACGCGAAACATAAAAAATAAAAATAAAAGATAAACCTAAGTCGCCTCAGACGACACTTACGGGAAGAGATGGTTGAACAGTCAAGCGCTATGCCCCTCCGCCCCAGAATTGTGGTGCGCGTTTTGCCTTAAACCTGGTAGTATAGTTCTTATGATATGAGACTATGCGTTGAGCTAGCATTATCTCGCTGACCGATGAACGAAACCAGAACAGTTGTAAAACGCACCTTAAGCTATTAATGCCAACACATCCTTTTAGAATACATTTGTAAAAGTTTAAATAAAGCTATTTTTTTACGGAATTTTAATCGCGTATAATAAAAAATTAAAATTGTGGATCGGAACCAAAATTAATAATTATAATCTGTAGGTAACTGCGGTTAACTATGACATCGAGACGTCGAACACCTCGTCAAGCATCCCCCCCCCCCGTGACCATTGGTGCTGTAAAGTGCTGTAAACGTTGTGAATATAAAAAAAGTAATATACGCGATAAAATCCGTAAAAACTAGGTTTATTTAAATGTGTAGTGTTCATGTGAAAATAAGAAATCATTTTTAAAAGTTGTTATGTTTTGTAATTATGTCTCGGGTTATTTACTGCCTCTAACTTTCAACTGTTCTGCATATCCGAGCCAAAGCGCAATTTGGAAGCCATCATGTCACGGAGGAGACTAAAATAGTTAATATTATCATGCCAGGAGATTTCAAGTGAGTCGTGTATCGCGCACTCGGCAGCAATGTCGCCGAGTGAAGGCTCTATGAGTGCACGCAACGTCGGCACCGCAGCTCTACTGGCCGTCTCTTTGCTGGTAATCCTGGCCGCCATCGGGGCTGCCGTTCTCTACTGGAGGTAAGGGAGCCATGGAATTTTTGCCTTGGAATTAAATCGATGGATCCGTATGGCCAATGGCTGAGTGTTTAGCTGAGGTATTTTGAAATGTGTGTTTTAACTTTGAATCCCACATGAAACAACTATGGTATGGCCACAAATGTTTTATGTTTGACAATGTCATATATCGTGTTGTAAAACTGTTTCGTAATACAAAAGAAAAGGCAGGAAAGTAAAATTTCTGCGTACATTGAGACATGAAAAGGCTCCACAAACTTTCACCCCACATTGGTGCAGCGGGAATAAAATATGTCTTTTTTTATAGGATAGGATGACAAATGAGCACACAGTCGACCTGATGGTAAGTGGTTGCTGTGGCCCATAGACATCTACATCTATCCTCGATTACAAATCAAAATGAGGACTAAGATGGAATGCCTCGTTTCTAGTAAAAAGGGTCTCCGGTTCTCTACACTCACCATACGAAACACAGCAGCATTAAGCTACTATTTTACATTCTGTGAGAGCGTGGTCCTTCCCCGGTCGAGCCGACATATTCGTGCTACAACTATATTACTAATATAACTGCAGCATGGCTCTACCACGTATAAATATTTTTTTTGATAGAATAAATAGTTTGTTAAACGCTTTCTGAAAAGTGTAGGATATAAAAAAAAAAATATATATATATATATATTTAAAAAATTAGAAAATAAACATCCTCAAGCCGTCATTTATAGAAATAAATCAAATTTGAGTGTCTGTTTGTAATGTCAAAATAACGGTACAGATAACAAAAACACAATTTTAAAATTTTTTGTCTGCCTGTCTGTGTGATTGTTCCGGCCAATTTCCGAAATGGCTGGATCAATATTTGACGACACTTTTACTGCCAAATAGTTTGTTATAAGAAGTAACTTAAGCTACTTTTATATTAGAAAAAGAATTAGGGTTCCGGCAAAAAAAAAAAATTAATCCTAAATTACACGTGGACTAAGTCGCGGAGAACAGCTAATATACATATATAATATAAGGTTACCTCAAACAAGCTGAAAATAATAACATTTGGGGGAGAATAAATAACTTCCAAAACATGTGAAGAAGCACTTCAATAATATTTTAAAAGAAGAAATATATAAAGATGAAACTATGCATTAAAATTATACTTTATAAAAAATACCAAAAGAATTATAATATAGATGTTATTGTTCTCATGTAAGTGACTTATTGTCTTAATGAGAAATAAAGTTCTTTAAACCGAAACATACTATTACTGGTGGTATTTTAAAATGTTATAATATTGGTTGTTTTTGTGTAGATGCAGATCACGTTTGAGTAAATGCATCAGTGCAGCTTACAACTATCTTGAGGAAGGCGGCGAGAGAGCTGCAAGGGCGCCATTGAATGTTTATAAGAAACCTGGTAAGTCTTAATCAAATTTAGTAAAAAAAAATCTTAAGCAGTCCTGAACAAACAGAGACAAAAAGGGATAAGCGCATTGTAGTAGAGACTTAAGAGATTCCATTATACTATCTCACTATTAGGCATTGAATACCAGCGTAAAATAGCAGCTTAATACTGCTGTGTTTCGTATGGTGAGTATAGAGATCCGGAGACCCGGAGAGAGATCCGAAAACGATGCATTCCATCTAGTCCTTAGGGGTGACAACGCATCTGCGTTTTGATTCTTCATCGAGAATAAATGTCGATGTTGTTAAAGGTCTAATATCTACACAATATGTTACTAGTGCTGCCATCTGTCGTGCATTGTCGGTAGACATGTTTGTTTGTTCTATGGTTTTAAATAAAATTTAGTCTGTGCCACTCGTCAATGCGAATACGTTGTTTTATTTTAGATGTCTGTGGGCCACAGCATCCACTTATCATCAAGTGGACTGTGCGCTCGTTTGTTACCCTTGTTCTATAAAAAAAGGCTCATTTCAGAACTACTTTATGAACTCCGATGGTTGACGGTGTAACCGTCGAGTATTTTCATCAAATATAAAATATCCAGACCGGCCATAGAAATTAGGAACAAAATCTGCGAAACGTCTAGCACTTCCACTACAAATCCACCAGCCACGAGTGGTGGTTGCGACAAATGTGACATATTTTTAAATTGAAAATGAGTTTATGTATGACTTGTTATCCCTGTATACCTGAGGACTAAAATGAAATGCGTCGACACCAGTAGAAAGGGTTTACAGGTCTCTATAGAAGAAAGACTAAAAAGTTAGGGTGTCAAACGAGAAAAGTCCATTGATGGTAAATGGATGCTGTGATCCCTTATTACTGGAAACAAGGCATTCCATTTTTGTCCTCGGGAGTGGTAACGCATCTGCATTTCGATACTTAATTGAGGATAGATGTAGATGTCTATGGGCCTTGAATCCATTTACTGTCAGGTGGACTGTGTTCGTTTGTCACCGTTATATGTACTATAAAAAAAGACACATACACTTATCATCGATTAAAAATCAAAATGCAGATGCGTTGTTACCTCTCTGGGCTAAGATGGAATGCATCGTCAATCATAATACAAATTAGTATTTTAGGCTGATATTAATTTGGAATTTTACGCTGGTCGTTCTGCAGCTATAATATCCTTCAACATTTCCCTATATATTGATTGATACCACTAAAGAGTGATAGCTTATGCGTGTAGAAAGTGTGCAGTATTGGCAAGTAAGGCCAAAGCGTTGGTTTCTCAGAAGTTGAATCAAGTTGAAATTAGTATAAATACTAAAGTCTGATTTTTTAGCGTCTCGAAATGATTTAAATATGCAAGCTTTTAAGTGAAGGCATTCGAAAGACGCGGCTATTTATGTCATCTATTAAGTACTAATCGTTATCTAGAATCAGGAAAATTGGTAAGAATTGGTGTTTCACTGGACAAATGACAATATAACAACAATATAAAAATGTATATTATGTAGAGAATTATTAAAAATAAAAATCAAGTGTCGCTTGTATGAAAGATGATCACTTGAGCACGGCTGGACTAACTTTGATGAAATTTTTTGTGTGTATTTGGGTGAGTTAACTCTATGGTTTGCTTTCACAACTGAACTCGGTAGGTAGCGCTGTTGTCGAGGTGCAATAATCACTCGTACGAAGCCGGGGCGGGTTGCTAGTATTAAATATGATAAAAAGCGCTTAGCAATATGTATGTAATATTATAAAATAAATTGCACCAAATGTGTCGGACGGCAAATTTTTGCCAAAAGCCAACGTATTTTTACTGTAACGCTCGCCCTTGGGAATTAGCTTTTTTTTTTGGGTTGCCACTCTTCCGGCCCAAAAATACCTACCAGTTGTTTTTATAGCCTATTTACAAGTTACCAGAAAAACTTCAAATAACATTTATAATGTTTATTAAAGAAAAAAAAACAAGAACAAAAATGAAAAGAGATACTTTGTTGGCTGGCTACTAATGAGAAGGATGTGCTTGCTTTTCTGAGCATAGCTTCTCAAACGTGGCTAAATTTGGAAATTGCCACTCTCAACACTTTCTCTACATTTGTTTTCGATCTGTACTTGTTCTTTATTACTGCAACTTCAGAAAAACCTGTTTGACACAAGTACGATGTCGCAAATATTAATAGAACCCTCAATGCTGCAGTGCTGATGGCACGATATTCGTGAGAAACTGAGCATCCGAAATTCAAGCAGTCTTTGTCGTATTGTAGCTTAAGGCTGGTCAAGTCACAGGACAATTCTATTAATTATTCTTCTTCCTTTGTCGAAAGTGTTGATGGTGAGGTCTACTAGAAAGGGTTGATAACCCAGTCATATTGCTCCATATTTTCGGAAAAATTGTTTTCAAAATGTTCGCTTTATCATGACAAGTGCTGTGCCATTATAAATTAAATTTTAGTTTTAGAACGGAATCTGGGCTTTCTATCGGCTTTACATTTTCTTGTAAAGCAGTGAAACAGTTAGTATGTACTTGATCTTCTTCTAATTTTCTCTTCCATAGGAGTAACTTCTTCTGAAACCCAGTGATTTTATCTGCCAGTTATAGTGTATGAGTATTGTTTCCCTTCAAGGACTTATTAAGATCGTTTTGTTTTGGAGATATGTCACAGAGATATGCCAATTTTATTATAAAATTAGAATTGATAATGTATTGCGCATCATTGTGTGATTTTGTCTGTAGATAAGTGTGAAACTCAATTCGTAGTTCGTGCGAGTACTTTGCCTTCGGACAACCAACGAGAGTTGCAATAATAAATTAAATAAGTATACTTGGCACTCAATTCTTCACAAAGTTTATGGAACACTCTTGAATCACAAAAATTGAATCTTGAATCAAAAAACCCACCCCCAAAAAAACCCACTTCGAAATCTTTCCATTCTCAAATGAGTGAGCTCACTAATTCGCAATCAGTGCTCATTTGTGCGACAGAGAAAGTAGTATACTTAATTTCTGTATATAAAGATGACACTATTGCATTAGTGTGCGCGCGTCAGCGTCTTGCAAACGAACACATCCAAAAATAATGCTACAGTTTTCAATGTGAAGGCGCATCTAATTATTTAAATCTTTGACTGTCTAGACATCGCTCGAGCACCATCCGTACACACACTCACACAGTTCTCCCATTTAATATTACTTTCGATTATGTATGAATCTAAGATCTTAAATAAATCGGTAGCCTTACCACTTTATTTTTCTGCAAAATAACATATTCTCACTCACATTTGTTTTTGTAGCGCACGTAACATTAAAGCATCGTTATTATTATCTGTCGCTTCATCAAGTTGAATGGCAAATAAGCCTTAAAATTTTGTCTATAATTTGGTCATTAATGTCTTACAAGAAAGTACATTTTTTATTTCTTTCATTCTATTCTTTCAAAGCCGTAGCGTAGACTGATGTTTTTTTAGTTCTCTCAGTTTTCTAACCAAGAAGTCTCTCGGCTTGGAGATGACTGAGTTGTTTCCAAATGACGTTTTAGTTTATTAAGAGGCATACTTTCAGCTGCTAACATTTTATGACAAACAACACATTGGGGAAGTTCTCGATTTCCTTTAGTAGTTAGGTAAATCCGAAATCCGAATACTGGTCGTCATATTTTATATACTTTCATTTTTCTGAAGTTTCTTTATTGTTTTCTCCTGAGTCTCCGCTTTGTTTTCTATTTTTTTTATGAAATTATCCGTAGTCAATATTATAACTCCGCGTGCTTAATTAAATAAAACAAAAGCTTGACTGACTGTAACGATATGAATACGCGGGGAAAGGGAAACGCGCGGATGGAGGACGACGACGATGCCGGCCGGCCCCCCGTGGCTCTATTACAGCCCGACAGAACAGAATGTGCGTGGCACTCATCATATTTATTTATCTATGGCGCTCATTCAACTCGGTCGAATCGACATAGCGAATCTGTAGATCGACTTACGTCGCCCCAGGGCGTCGCGACCCACAGTCTGGGAAGCCCTGTTCTAAGCTATATGGGCACACCGGCAGTGTGTTCGCCGCTGCGTGCGGGCGCGGGTAGCGCGTGCGGCGCGGGCACGGGCGGGGGCGCGGGCGTGGGCGAGGAGGTTGAAGCGGCACGGCCACCGCGCATGGCCGGGCCCGAGCGACCGCCGCTGCGCGCGCGCGCCTTCGTGCGCCACGTCGCTGCGCTGCACGCCGACGGCGACATCGGCTTCAGGTAACTCCAACACGATCACGTGAGCCGCAAATTATGTTACGGAAACTCCGGAGGCTCCGAAACGTTCTAATCGAACTCCCAGCTTCGCTAGACCAAAATGTCGCCAGCCCGTCACACACAAACACTGTACACTCACCTAGTTTCACAAACACGGTTAGGACAACGGATCGACTCAACGATTCCACAGGCGGGAGCACCCCCCCCTCCACACCGCGTATACGGTGTATACCGGCGTATCATACGATAATGATAATGATAATTTATTACTTTAAAACAAGTAGTAAGTTGTTACAATATTGTTGGGCACCTTCTTTTAAGTAAATAGACACCTAGATACGATACGACGAACGATACGATTTAACCGTTAAAGCCACCTCCTGTTCGCACGGCCTACAAACAAATCTACGAACACATTAAACTGTCGGAGAAGAACATCGTTACACAAGCAAAAATGCTAAATAATTTATATTCATCCCTTTTTACAGATAAAGATGAGACCGATAAAACTGTAAAAGCCAAAATGCTAACAACACTAACATCATAAAAATCAGAGAACCAAAAAGATTCTAATTATACAGAAGCGGCATAAACCGAAGGTGACAGGAAAGGTGTCGTGAAAGATTCAAACGGTGCAGCATAGGCATACCACATTTATCCGTTACACTCCTGCACCGCGCCTGTGCTGTGCCTTCGCCTTATGCCGCTTCCTCTTCATCGCCTTAGGGTCACTAAGGACTTCTATAAAAAGACCGTGGACTATTGTACGTATTGTAAGAACGTATTTCCTAATGTTCACAATTATTATTGTATCATCTATCACCGGTTCTCTTAGCTCGAATGGCCAGAACACTCACGCTCTTCTAACCGACAAGAAACTCCCTCAAAAGGAGATTAACGTTTTGACATGTAAATAAAAAACGCATATAGGTTGAAAAATATGAGACAATTTGTTTTACAATAGCAGATTTTAGGGACACTAAAAATATAAGAAATACGTACATACATAAACACTCACGCCTGTCACCCAGAGGGATAGGCAGAGACTACAGACTTCCATTTCTCATTTCTGAAAAGTTTTTGCGGCAAGGACATGTACTCTTGCATTGGCGAACTATAAGAAGAAGAAGCCTATTAGCTACTATCGCACTTGATGGTAAATGATGATGTAGCCGTTAATAGCTTTAATCGTTGTAGCAATCGTTTTAAGAAGAATTAATATATTATTCCTTCTTACGCCTTCAATATTATTCAAATTTATATTTGCTAATATTAATTTACCTATTGACAGCAAGGAGTATGAAATCGTAGTGGCGAAATCGGCTGCTCTGGGTCACACCAGTCATCACAGCTATCGACCGGAGAACAGATTAAAAAACCGATACCTCAACATCACAGCTTGTAAGTAATGGCTAACAAATATATATATATATTATACATAAATGTTAAAAATACCACTACATAAAAATTATTAAATTTATAAAAGTTTTCTTCCTTTTTCCCTTTTCTGCTTGCAAAAACATAGGCAAAACTTTACGACATAATTAATTGAAGGATACATTTATAAATTCTAAACTGGTCAACATTATATGTCAAAGCATTATTTTGTTTGTTTATTTTTATTTAAGATTTACTGCAGTTTATCTTAGTGATGCAACGGAAGTGTCATATTGGAAGCAGAAACGGAAACAGATGTTAAAAATATTTTTTTTGCAGAAACGGAAACAGAAACGGATGCGGAAACGGAAATACTATTTATTAAAAAAAATAGAAAAAATACGTGTGGCACTCGGTGACTGCCGCGTTAAAGCTATTGCATAGCATTTTTTATCAACTTATGCAATTATAATTATTTATTTAGTTTATTTATGCAGTTAAGTTTTTGATATTAAATCAAGTTACACTTTTTGAGCGTGGTGACCGATAAAAAAACAATTTTTTTTCTCTTATTGAATAAATGAGAAGTTAATATTGTTTAAAATATTTTTAATATCTTACAATACATGTAGGTTATTCAGGAATTTTTATCATTGAGTTAGCAGCTAGTGTACACGCATACGTCTATTCGCACGCACACAAACACCGTGCCGAACTCTGCCGAGTGCCGAAGTCTGCCGAACTGACACGACGTTAGACGATGCACGGCTTTCAACGCCACACCTCCGTGCCCGTCGGAGTGGGGAGCGTGAGTTTTTTTTTTCGTTACGGAATTTATGGATTCAGTCCCCGCGCTCAAGGCCCGCGATAGAAGCTATGCAATAGATTAATAAAACTTTTAAATAAAATTCAAAATTAAGTAGCGGTAAGTTATATTTTATGAAAAGTAGTTCGGTCGCTTTTACACCTAACAATCTGTTCCAGTGTTCTTCATATATAAGTCCAGCTCAGCTAAATAATTTATCACTGGCGATGCTGAGTATACACCAAAGCTAAACTGGTATTGAAATATAGGCAGACCCTTCAAAGAGCCTTATTTAGGTTTAGCGAGTAGGTAATTTAGTACAGTCCTAGCGCGAAAGTAGGACGTATACGAACTTTGAATCCAAAATACTCATTAAAGTATCTTTAAAAATAATTAATAGATGTAAACTACGAGTAAAAAATAAATAATATAAACTTCACGTGATAAATATTTAATATAAACTTCATGTAAATATAACTGCTACCTAATTAATTTTACAAATCTAAGTTGTAACAAAGGTTAAGTTGTGACAAGTATACATTTTATAAATAAATAGGTATGCAATTCCTTGACTGACCATTTTTTTTTAGTTGGCAATGAAAGTTTTACGGTTTCAACTAACTTGTCAAACTCTGCAAATTCGTCGGAGTGTATCACTATAACAAGGCTCTTTAAAGCGGTAGTTGTGCGTTCTTTTCGCGAGTATATTTTGTCACATAATTTACATCTGGCTTCCTAATCATCAATCTCAACATAATAGATCTAAACAGTTAAATTACACACATAACTCAAATTACGAATTAACTAAAAACACAAAATAACAGAAAATTTTACGCACTGACACTCACGTCACGTCATATCATAAAGTTAAAAAAGTATGTAAACACACCCGTCGGGACAAGTGCCGAAAGCACGTGCCTAGCTCGCTTATGGTTGGTTGAAATGCCCCTCCACCACCCCTCCTCTACTTATGTGGCTGCGTCGTTGACAGCAGTCGTTGAAGCAGAAACGGATGTTAAAAACCATGGAGAACTTCCGCAGTTGCGGAAATAGAAACAGAGTTCTCTTGCATCACTAGTTTATCTTAAGTTATCGTACAACTAGTCTCAGGTCTGATGTCACTGTGAAACCAAAATACATGTATATATATAACCTTGAAATGTCTTATAGTACAACTTATGGCTGTTCTGAAAAAAATACGAAACATAATATATTACAAGTAGTACCTTTGATATTTGATGATTTTTAAAGAAAAGTCGATTTTTTTCTATCTTATTTTACTCTCTTGAACACTATGACCAAAAATGAATGATTTCTATTGGTTTTTTGTTGTTTTATTATTATACACTAACTGTGCTGACAGATAAAAAGTAAACAGTTGATAGCTTTTGCAGTTTTTATTCAAAAAATTCGCAAATTAATTTATTTCTGAAAAACATGCAAAAATATTATTTAAGCGAAGTTCAAACCTCTTGGGTATGACCAAAATTTATGAATGTATGGGTGACCAATAATTTTACAATAATGTCGGTTTCATGTAGATTTTATAATGGTATAATTCATAAATGTATCTTCCATAAATAGTGACTTATTGCCATTAATGTAGAAAAGGAGAAAATTTGACTAACAAAATTTTGTAATATGGGAACTTTTTTTGAATTGAATTGTGTCTGATCATTGGGGATTAATAAAAAACAACATTTAAAATTAAAATATTTTATTTTTCATTAATTTACAAAAAAAATTCAAATTGTTTCCCTCCCACTCTTATGCATGCCCTACATCTTCGGATAAATGATCTTCTGAGCAGTCTTGTGTACCGTCGCTCGCATATTTTTGATGCGGCTGCTCCGACACGACTGCGTAGTTCGTCCAAAGACCGCTCAGGCTTACAGTATACTTCCTCTTTCAGACAGCCCCAGTAAAAAAATCCAATGGATTTAGATCCGGTGAACGTGGAGGCCACAAAATTGGCCCTAGACGTCCGATCCATCTATTTGGGTATCTGCTATTTAAATATGCACGAACCGGAACAGCATAATGCGCAGGACAACCGTCATTTTGCAGCCAATACGATTCCCTCAGCTCCTCGGGAACCTCTTGTAATAAATTGGGGAGATCATTTTGAAGAAACTCCAAATAACTTTACCCCGTTAAATTCCCCGGTAATTCAAATGGTCCAATTATCATACCATTTAATATTGCGGTCCAATAATTTTTTAATTCCAATAATTTTAAATTGGTATTACGACCTGTCTTCACGTATAAGATGGAGATTTACTAGTTCCCAACTATGTAAATTGTGTAAATTTAAGTAACCGTCTCTTTTAAGCGTTGACTCATCGCTCCACAAAATATTTATTAAAAAATTGCGGGTCTTCTTCCATCTTTGCCAGCATTTGCCGGCAAAAACGCATTCTTGAGAGATAATCTCTTGGTTGGAGAGTTTGCACGCGTGTGACGTGGTAAGGGTAGAATTCGTTTTTCTTTAAAATATCGTGTACGGTCGATTTTCCAATACCTGTGCGTCGAGCTATTGCTTGCGTAGAGGTTGAAGGATCGTTTTCAATCTCCTCAAGTACCACATCTTCTACATCAGGACGAGCGATTCTTCCAGCGCTAGCACCACCGACACCACTACGCGGCATTGTTCCTTCGGAGTAACAACCGTGGACTCTTATAAATACGCGGTAGTCTGGGTGGCGAGCATTAGGGTACTTCTCCCTATAAAGAGCTGCGGCTGCATTTGCGTTGCCTCTGCATTCTCCATAAATAAAATGCATGTTTGCACATTCTTGTGCCGTGTACTGATGACGTGGCATTTTGATAGGTATACAAAAGTCCAGTTTAGTCCAGAAACAAGCCAAATCGTCGCAAATGTCACCAAACGCAAAACAAGTCCAAATCAGTAAGCAAAACTAATAGTCTGGTAAAATAGCCAAGTGGTCGTTTTAACACTGATTTAAATAATTGCAAACGGAGACAAAATAAATACATGCCAAGTCGAGCAAGTCGAGTGACGCACTAAGTTCTCTTTTACATTTAGCTCTTCTCTCTCCCACTTATTCAATTCAGACCCCTCTTTGTCTAATATAACACAAAAGACAGCAGGTAGTAAATATGAAGGTCACACGACCCATTTCACGCTAGTAAAGTAACCATTTTAACATTTAAATTGGTTATTTTATTAAATTTAAATAAGTTAATTTCTAATACTTAATTTGGTTTCAATTTGTTTAAAAATAGCTGTTTTCATGTATAATCAACTCCTGATGTGTTTTAATTAATTCCCAATGATCAGAGACAATTCAATTTAAAAAATGTTCCCATATTACAAATTTTGTTACTTACTCAAATTTTCTCCTTTTCTACATTAATGGCAATAAGTCACTATTTATGGAAGATATATTTATGAATTATACCACTATACAATCTACACGAAACCGACTTTATTGTAAAATTATTGGTCACCCATACATTCATACATTTTTTTCATACCCAAGAGGTTTGAACTTCGCTTAAATAATATTTTTTGCATGTTTTTCAGAAATAAATTAATTTGCGAATTTTTTAAATAAAAACTGCAAAAGATATTTATACTATTTACTTTTTATCTATCAGCACAGTTAGTGTATAATAATAAAACAACAAAAAACCAAAAGAAATCATTCGTTTTTGGTCATAGTGTTCAAGACAGTAAAATAAGATAGAAAAAAATCGACGTTCCTTAAAAAATATATCAAAGGTACTACTTGTGATATATTATGTTTCGTATTTTTTTCAGAACGGCCATGAGTTGTACTATAAGACATTTCAAGGTTATCCATTCATTACCGGACAACCTGTATATATATATATATATATATATATATATATATATATATATATATATATATATATATATATATATATATAATAGAGTACCCGGTTGACCGAGCTTTGCTCGGTATTTTTCGCTCGGTTTTTTTAATTCGTGTGTTTTGGAAATTATATTTAGATACAAATTACATACTGATGAAATACGAACAATATTTTTTGATCTTATAAATATAGTATTAACACGGTATAGTGTTGATGTTTTTAGTATGAATGAAGAGGACGTTGCTATGTACTTACGCAAGTCTAGATTTCCTTTTTGCTTACACTCTAAACTCGTACAGGAACCATCTGATAAAAAAGGATGCTGAGATCCATAGACACCTATACTTATCCTTAATCAAGAACAAAAATGCGGATATTATAATGTCACAACTGAGGACAGAGATAGAATGTATCGTTACCAGTAAATTTGGTCACCTTTTCTCTGCACTCACCATTCGAAACAGTAGCATTATACTGCTATTTTACACTTGTATTCTGTGAGAGTGTGGTTCGTCCTTCCCCAGTCTATAATAAACTTCAGTATGGTTGTATAAATTGTCTAAACAAGTTTTTTATAGGAGAAACAATAAAGTTTTTGCTTACGGTCAGACGATCATTCGCGCGTGTGCGTGTCAGCGGGCGCGCGGTGCGGCGCGGCGGGGTGTGTGGGCGCAGGGCGCGGCGCGACCTGCGACTACGTGAACGCGAACTTCATCGACGGCATGCTGCCCGCGCTCGACGCACAAGCAGAGCGCCGCCTCGAGCGCAAGCTTCAGGGCCGCGCCCGCCCACAGCGGTACGTACAAACGCACGCACACACACGTAAACGCGAACTTCATCGACGGCATGCTGCCCGCGCACGACGCACAAGCAGAGCGCCGCCTCGAGCGCAAGCTGCAGCGCCGCGCCCGCCCACAGCGGTACGAACACACGTACGCACACACACGTAAACGCGAACTTCATCGACGGCATGCTGCCCGCGCTCGACACACAAGCAGAGCGCCGCCTCGAGCGCAAGCTGCAACGCCGCGCCCGCCCACAGCGGTACGTACACCGCACGCACACTTCAAGTCCCTTCAGCGGTGCCAAGTTGAATGTCGGTATATCGGAGTACTGAATTGTTTGTACAGTAGGGCTACGATGGCTATCCAAGTACAGAACCAGAATACGAAACCTATCCAACTGCTACTACTGGACTGGATAGTATACGGTATTAAAATCAATGGCGAGTACATCACTAACCTTCGATTTGCCGACGATATAGTCCTGATGGCAGAATCGCCGGAGGACCTAAGCACTATGCTCAATAACCTCAATAGTGTCTTCGAACGGATAGGTCTTAGGATGAACATGGACAAAATAAAGATCATGTTTAATGTCCATATCACACCTATGCCGATAGTTGTTGGGAGCACTAAGCTCGAAGTTGTTGACGAGTACGTTTACCTGGGACCAATAGTCCGACTAGATAAGTTCAACTTCGACTGAGAGGTCAATTGACGGATTCAACTCGGCTGGGCAGCGTTCGGGAAATTACGACACATCTTCTCATCAGGTATACCTCAAAATCTGAAAACTAGATTGTACAACCAGTGCGTATTGCCAATGTTGACTTAAGGATCTGAGATCTTTACTGCTGGCCGTATGAGGACGCTCAAGGTCGTTCAGCGAGTTATGGAGAGGGCTACGCTCGGGGTTTTATGCGTGATAAATTTAGAAATTAGGATATCTGCAGTAGAACCAGAGTGACCGACATAGCCCAATAGCTAAAGTAAGCTGAAGTGACAATGGGCCGGCCATATAGCTCGAAGAACTGGCAACCGATGGGGAAAAAACGTTCTCGAGTGGCAGCCTCGTACCGGTAGGCGTTATGTAGGGCGGCCCCCCACTATATGGAGTGACGACCTGGTAAGACGTGCAGGAAGTCGATGGATACAGGTGGTTTAAGGCCGTTCATTGTGGCATTCCTTGGGGGAGGCCAATGTTCAGCAGTGAACTTGTGTAGGGCTGTAATGATGATGATGACCAAGACACGGCTAGTAACCCCTTCCCGTTCAAACGGGACGCATGAGAACCTGCCTTAACAATTTCTATAAATAATAGTGAGAAGTTAAAAATACTTATCTTTCTTTCTTTCTTTAGAATTCTTTACTATTTTTATTGATTCACAGGCAACCATCAATAAAACAATCGAAACCCCCGCCCAACTTAGCGGAAGGAATCGAATCCGCATTCCTTAACATCGAGTTCTCTGGCATCGTGGAATCGGAAGAACAGGCCGAAGACTCCGACAGCGACCGAAGCGACGACGATAGTGAACTAGACGACGTATATGTTAATATAAGTGAGTTTTTTTTTCTTTAATTTATATTAGACCAAAAAACAAGGTCACCCAATTCCTGCAGTTAACTTCCAAACTGAACCATTGCAATTTCTTCATCCTGCACAAGCAACGGGAAACCAATTCTCATGCACAGGAAAACCTTTTTGTTTAAACCGTAACGTGCATGGATTACATTACGGCGCATGTGGCAGATGGCACTCCGCGGCGCGTGAAGCTGGAGTGGCTGGTGTGGCGGCGGCGCTACATCGCCACGCAGGGCCCCACGCCCGCCACGCTCGACGCCTTCTGGCGCATGATCTGGCAGCACCGCGTGCACACCGTCGTCATGATCACTAACCTCGTGGAGCGTGGACGCGTGAGTACTGCTCATTATATTAGACTAACAATCGTACGACCTTGAATAGATCAAATTTAGACAAATTAAAACCAAATACAGATTTAAAGATCTTCAGCGCTTAAATAACTATAACGCTTATTTTTTGAGTTCCAAGATTTTGTTTAAAATTGAAACTACTGATCTGACTATATTTTGTCCCCAAAAACAAGTAGCCTTCTTTTAAACATATCTACTCTAAAATTTTAAATCTTAAAGGAGAATGGCAGGCTTGTATGGGAGTTTCGTACCGCTAATAAAATTTCGTGTTTTGAGATATTTTTGGTTTTAATTGTTAGATAGTAAGATAGACAAACCCTTTTTTAAATTCTCAGATTTTTAGAACGTGGGACATAAAAGTTATACCAGTTTTAGTTTTTAAGATTATTTACATAGACCATAGACTAATATATAATATTGTGAACTAGTGTTACAATTTTTTTTATATAACTGGTTTTACGGCTTTGGGTTCTAGACCTTCTGAGCCTATCATTTCTTTCCTAATCTTCGTTTTTGTATATTTTTTTCATCACAATATGCTGATGCGTCACTTTTTGCGTCACAGTTTTTGGGAGATTATATCAACATCAAACCACTTGTTTCGTCGTTTTCTCTAATAGTTCACACGTGCAGACAATTAACAAAATCACATCACTTTTACGAATCAAAATCTACTTCAAATCATTATTCAAGCAACAAAACAGGAGCGACAAATTGTCCAACAATCCATCGACGGCCAAAACCTGTCCTAGTGTACCTATGTTACATATAGGCAAATAAAAATTGTTTTTGTGAGAAAGTAAATATTCTATATTGCTTTTCGCTACTCTGCAGTGCTTTACTAACAGTTATTTTTTTATAGAACAAGGGTGACAGTCGAACAGACAGTCCACCTGATGGTTAGTGGATGCTGTGGCCCATGGACATCTACATTTATCCTCGATTTAGAATCAAAATTCAGTTGCGTTGTTTTCTTTCAACCCACTTAATTTGCACCTCTTTTTCTTAGCTCCGCTTTTAAAGCACTGACATTCATTGACCCGTAACTCATATTGGCCATAATTAATCTCAGGAATTGCAATATATTCACAATGTTATTCTAAAAGAAATGAACACGCGTAGCCCACCTACTATTAACAGTGATATTTGACATGTCGGAGACCCACTCTCGCCTCTAGCGGCGAATTCATACGCGATAGCCTTCATTGCGTTTAGTTTATGCTTATATTACGTTTATTTATTAAAATCTTTTTTATTGATATTATTAACTAATCCCAAGTTCTAAAAATATAAAACTTAATGAAAATTAATGGCTTAGTTGCCTTAATATCTGGTATTAATTCTATAACAAAACAACGAAAAAAGTATGCGGTACTAAATCTGCCGTTCCCCTTTTGTGTTTATTAATTACAATTATATGATAAATTAAATTAATTATCATATAATCGTTGGTGCTTCACAGACGCTGCTGGTGCATTACATAATTACGGACATAGTATTCGTGTAACATTTGAACAACTAATGATTGAGGTTATTTTCATACAATAAAGTTATTGGTTTTGTCGTATATATTTATGCTAGGATTCCGTAGACGGCGCTGTTGTCATGTAAACAAATTCTGTATTTATGTACCAAATTGACTATTATTCATATTAATTTGGTGATTTAGTGCTGTAATTTCAGGTGGTTAGGTTTATTTACTCGAACATACATACGTATACACATTTACATACAAAGTCGGCAATTTCTTCCTATTTTGAGGGCTGCGACAAAACATGTTATTCAAAGGTTTAAATAAGGTTTTTGGGCGATCTGAGAAGGGTAATGGAGAATATATCGAAAAGGAAAAATAATTGTATGTTTAATTGTAGCCCCTTTTTCTTTACTACACACTTCTTCACTATTTGACCTTCCCTCGTGGTTAAGAGTATATTAATTAGATTGATAACAATAGTTTGTTTGTCAGCGTAAGTGCGACATGTACTGGCCGGCGGGTGGGCGTGGTAGCTCGGCAGAATTCGGCGGCGTTCACGTGACTCTGCTCCACGAAGACGTGCGTGCCGCCTACACCGTGCGCCGCCTGCGTGCGCGCCCGCTGCACAAGGTACTTTTTGTGTGCATGTGCGTGTGCGTTACGTACGTGTGCGTGTGCATGTGAGCACGCGCATTTGCGTGTGTGCGTGCGTGTTTGTGTGTGTTGATCCTCTGTAATTACAGACAGACATTATTTGTAACGTACTTTGTTGGAAGTTGATTGCAGTAGTAGCTTACCATCAACTGAACTATTATATCGTATATCCTTTCAGTTTTGAAATGTCTGCCCTTTTCCACCGGCGGTTGGTTTATTTTAATGTTTACTCATTTCTGACCGTGCAGGGCTGCGAAGGAAGTGACGAAAACGATACCCCAGATAGTGGGCGCATCATACTACAGTACCACTATACGGTGTGGCCAGACCACGGAACACCTCGACATCCGCTTGCAGTGTTACCCTTCGTGAAGGCTGCCTCCGCCGACCCTGGAACTGTGCTCGTGCACTGCAGGCAAGTTTCAACTTAAAGTGTCATGCAGTAGGTGTTCTATTGCCGTGCCGGCCTTCGTGATGTCGCTACGGCGACCTATTCTGCGTGTAACCTCTTACTATACGTGTCACGTTACCGTATTTTTATAAGGTTGCCTGCACTAACCGAGACACTATTGTTCGTGACGTTAAACTTTAACTTCTTGTAAATAAGTGTCAATTCGTATGATGCATATAGTAAAGTTAGCTACCGTTGATTAGCACTAGTAGTAGAATTTGAACTTAGCGTCTTGTACATAAGTATCATTTTACCTGGTAGAGCCATGCTGCAGCTATATTGTGGTTGCAGCACGAATGAGTCGGCTCGATCGGGGTTATACCACGCTCTCACAGAATGTCACCGCAAAATAGCAGCTTAATGGTACTGTCTTTCGTGTGGTGAGTGTAGAGAACTGGAGACTATTTTTACTGGAAACGAGACATTCCATCTGAGGGCTGACGACGCATCTGCATTTTCATTTTTAATTAAGGATTAATGTAGATGTCTATGGGCCACGCATTCACTTAACATCAGGTGGACTGTGTGCTCGTTTGTCACGCTTATACCATAAAAAATTTAATATCGCCATACTGCCCTTCGTGAAAACTGTCTGCAGATTGGCACAAAGTGTATTGCATATCATCATGCGTATACGTGTTTTAGTTATTTAAGTGAAGAAAAATATGTATCGGATTAATAAGTCATACACATAAAGAGTCATATACATAATAAGAAATAACAATATTTTTATATAAAGTACATTTTGTTTATGATATAATATTACCTTTTATTTAACAGTGCTGGAGTAGGACGTACAGGCACGTACATAGTACTGGACGCACAGCTAAACCAATTGAAACTGACCGGCACACTGTCTCCTCTTGGCTTTCTATGCCGCGCTCGAACCCAAAGAAATCACTTAGTTCAAACTGAAGAGCAGTACGTATTTGTGCACGATGCCTTGCTCGAGCACGTCCGTTCGGGGAACACCGAAGTGGAATTCTCAAAGGCCAGAGAATACCTGGCGAAACTTCTGGAAGACATATCAGAGGAGGAGTTAGCGGTTATGGACATCAATCCGCCCAGGCCGAAGAGTATAAATGAAATGAATGGTGAAACATCCAGTATCAAATCAAGTCAGAATATCACCGAGAAAGAGTTGGCGGAAAACGGAAGCCAAGTATCGATAAAAACGGACGAATTGAACAGTGAACTGAGCAAATCGTCGGCAAGGGATTCGGATAACCAACAAGAAGATTTGAAGGAAGGTTTAGTGAATGGGGATGACTCCGAAGGAGTGTATGATTTGGCTCCACGGTCTACTGACACATACAGCAAGAAGATGCAAGCATACAACAACATGAATGAACAAGAGAGAGAAGAAATGAGAAGGTGTAGTCATATTTAACTTTATTTTTAATTTGCACGATCTTGAATCAAAAGGAACATGACATGAGTTGCCTTTTGATTTATTAATTTAAAAAAATATTATTTTGGATTTCGCTGATTTGTAACCAAACATTTCTTAGATTTTGTACTATTAAACAAATAATTACACGAAAATTTAAATTATATTTAAGACTACGTTATGAATATTTTTTAATAGCGTATTTTTTTACAATCGAATCGTGTTTAATGTTTTAATTTATTTTCAGAGCAAACCGAGCCGAAAACTATGCGTTATTAGAACGAATGCGGTCACTTGCGAATCGCAACAATGTATACCAAGGACCTCCACCAGTTAATTTGCTAGAAAAACAATTCCAGGTGAGAAAATTGTACATTAAAACTCGGATTTTAAATTTTTATTCCAGTCAGCAAAAATATTATGTCTGTTAATTATGATGTATTTTGGTCAGACCACTACCCACTTGTGGTGGAATATAATTTAAATAAACTTAAGCCTAAGGTTGTGGAGCAGGTAATGGGGAAACCTGTGAACCGTGTTGCTTGGGGCAACAGGACTCCACAACAGATAAAACTGTATCACGATTTTTGTCACACAAACTTGAGAATTATAGATCTTCCAGAGGAACTCAGAGACTGTTGTGATAAATTTTGTAGTAACAAGGAACATCAAGCTGTACTTTATAATATGTACGGTAATATTTACATAAATATACTATCACTGGCAGCAATTCGTACATATAGGGATAAATGTAGAAAAAAGGGAGGTTACGTGACGGGGTGGAATAAGCACGTCGCAGGTCCACATCGGGAGGCGCGGCTTGAATTTCAAGAATGGATGATGGCTGGGCAGCCGTCCAGGGGTCGCGTATTTGAAGAGATGTCAGAATCCAGAAAGCATTTTAAAGCCAAATTAAAATGGTGTCAAAACAGACAAGAACAGCTAAAGATGGATATTATTGCGACAAATCACTCTTCTAAAGACTTTAAAAGCTTCTGGAAGAACACAAACAAAATGAATGTTAAGCCGAGTCTTCCAGTGAGTGTTGGGGGTGCTTATGATCACAAGGATATTGCGGATGCATTCAGATGCAATTTTACTGTAGGGTCACCCTTAAATGTCGTTTCAGGTTTGAATTTGAGCGAAGCTGAGACTATCAGGACAGGACTGAGGAAATTGCTTCTATCTGCGAGACATATGCGGAGGAGCATTGCCTAAAATGCAACTCAAAAAAGAGTGAAATATTAGTATTTAAGGCACCGAAACGGAAGCCACGACATGTACCACCCGTATGTCTTGATGGTGTACCTCTGAAAGTCGTACAGAAGTTTAAATATCTCGTTCATATAGTTATGAGCGACCTAGGAGATGACGAGGATATTGAACGAGAGCGCAGAGCGTTGTCGGTAAGGGGCAATATGCTTGCCCGCAGATTCGCCCGGTGCACTGCAGACGTGAAAGTAACTTTATTTAAAGCGTTCTGTCAGTCTTTCTATACCGGTGGTCTGTGGGTGACTTATACGCGCCGGACCTACAGCGCCCTGCGTATTCAATATAACAACGCCTTTAGGATGCTGTTGAGGCTACCGTAGCGCTGTGACCCGAACCCCTCCCCCACCCACCCTTTTACTGCGGATATCCTCATTTCTGAGTCTATCACGCAGAGAAACTCCGAGCATAGCCCTCTCCATAGCTTGCTGAGCGACCTTGAGCGTCCTCATACGGCCAGCAGTGAGGGACCACGTCTCTGATCCGTAAGTCATCACTGGCAACACGCACAGGTTGTACACTTTAGTTTTCAGAGATTGAGGTATACCTGACGAGAAGGTGTGTCGTAATTTCCCGAACGCTGCCCAGCCGAGTTGAATCCGTCGATTGACCTCTCGGTCGAAGTTGTACTTACCTAGTCGGACTGTTTGTCCCAGGTAAACGTACTCGTCAACAACTTCGAGCATAGGGCTCCCAACAACTACCGGCATAGGTGTGACATGGACATTAAACATGATCTTTGTTTTGTCCATGTTCATCTTAAGACCTATCCGTTGGGAGACACTATTGAGGTCATTGAGCATAGTGCTAAGGTCCTCCAGCGATTCTGCCATAAGGACTATATCGTCGGCAAATCGAAGGTGAGTTATGTACTCGCCATTGATGTTAATACCGTATCCTTTCCAGTCCAGTAACTTGAAAACGTCTTCCAACGCAGCGCTGAGGAGTTTCGGGGATATAACGTCACCCTGTCTTACACCTCTCTGCAGTTGGATAGGTTTCGAACTCTGGTTCTATACTCGGATAGCCATCGTAGCCCTACTGTACAAACACTTCACCACTTCGATATACCGACAGTCAACTTGGCACCGCTGAAGAGACTGTAGGACTGCCCAAATTTCGACGGAATCAAAGGCTTTCTCATAGTCCACATACGCCAGGCAAAGTGGCAGATTATACTCTTCGGTCTTACGTACAATCTGCCGCAGGGTATGTATGTGGTCTATAGTACTGAAGCCTTTTCGGAAACCGGCTTGTTCGGGAGGCTGGAAATCGTCGAGTTTGCGTGCGAGACGATTCGTAATGACTCTCGAAAACAGCACGTAGACGCGGCTCAGAAGGGAAATCGGTCTGTAGTTCTTCAAGAGAGCGTTGTTGCCTTTCTTAAAGAACAAGACCACCGCACTTCTGCTCCACGCCTCCGGAGTAATGCCACCATGGAGGACTGAATTAAAGAGCTTCTGAAGGACTTCAAGTACCGGTATTCCACCCGCTTTCAGAAGCTCCGCTGTAATTCCATCCTCGCCTAGGGCCCTGCCGTTTTTAAGGTGCTGGAGAGCCATTCTAATCTCGCTCAGACTGACGTCCGGGATATCATCGGAATAGTGTCTGATAAGACTTGCTCTTGGATCGTTACTCACACTTGCGTGTGGCTCCAACGATGATGTGTACAGCTGCCCATAGAACCTCTCAATCTCACTCAAAATCTCAGGTGTCCCGGAAACGATGCTGCCACACTCAGTCTTCAGCTTTGACAGTTGGCTCTTTCTGGCAGACAGATCTCTGGCAAAGACGTTGGAGCCCTGGTTCCGCTCGATCGCTTCTTTAATACGAGCAGTATTAAAGTTGCGTAAGTCTCGCCGCATGCATTTGGAGATCTGTCTGTTCAGTCGCCTGTATGCTGTCATATCTGTTGACGATTGCAGCCTCATCTCCCGTCTAACAGCCATGAGATTGAGTGTGATCGGGGAGTTTTTGTGTTCTTCTGCGGCGGGTCTTGCAGAACTTAGCTCCGACCGCATGGACAGTTTCCACGAGCTTGTCATTCATATCGTCCACTGCATTGCAATCTTCTAGGCACTGAAAGCGGTTGCGTAACTCGAGCTGAAAGGTTTCGGGATTCTGGATTAGAGCACGAGGGGGACGGAGCGTTGACTTCATTAGACGAGACCTCTCCAACTTAACGTTTAGGTTTAGTGTGTCTAATCATTCGGTTATCGCTGCCGGTTTTCACCCTTGCGATCACTGAGGCATCACTGAACAGTTTGCGTCTGGTCGTCATAATGAAGTCAATCTCATTTTTTGTCGAACCGTCGGGGCTCGACCAGGTCCACTTCCTGTGGGGCCGCTTCTGGAAGAAAGAGTTCATCATAAAGAGTCCCTCTTTCTCCATAAAGTCAGCCAGCTGCTGGCCCCTACGGTTCCGTTGCCCTACTCCAAATTTCCCTAACTTCAGCTCACCGCCTTCTCTTGTGCCTAGTTTTGCGTTGAAGTCTCCCATCAACACCGTGTAGTGGGTTTTGGAGGAATGCATGGCTCTAGAAATATCCTCATACATTTCCTCCACCTCCTCATCGAGATGTGCCGAGGTTGGTGCGTAGACCTGTATGACCTTCAGCGAATACCGTTTGGTGATTCTGAGTATCAGGTACGCGACTCTCGTCGACACACTCCCAATCTTTACAACGTTGTTGACGAGAGACTTGTGGACGATAAATCCGACACCTCCTTGGGACAGATGGTCGCCCTCCCGGTGATAGAACAAGTTGCGGGACTCGAGGATTACCGTGTCCTCCCCCTCTCTTCGGACCTCAGATAATCCAATAATATGCCAGCGCAACTTGTCTACCTCTTCTTCCAGCTCCAGTATCTTCTCGTCAGTACTCAGGTCGAGTCGTCGTAGGTGGCAGCCGAACCTCCACCGGAGATTCTTAGCACCCCCTGCCCCGCCGTTACCATGGTCGCCACCGTAGCCAGGAATAGCGGGGCCGCCGGGGACTGGGGGCCGTTTGTTTACGTCGTTGCTCATGGGGGAGATATTTGCCATAGTTGCCACGCTTGGCGAGCGGGTTGGCAACCGCAGTTTTTTATTATGTTATTGTTGTTATTAGGAAGATGCTGCTGCCCATCTCCTTTCTGTGTCCCTCTGTCGCCTCTTACGACACCCACGGGAAGATACGGGGTAGTGGATATTCTCAACCGCCACTACACGGTAATTTGTACATAATTCACATTAACTAACAATACTAACTTAGAAGTTAAAGAAAATTGTTACTAACATACTAACAATCTATGGATGTTCCTTACGTCTGAAATAAACACTTATTATATATATATATATATATATATATATATATATATATATATATATATATATATATATAATGTCCTCCAGACTGAATTTCGGCCACGGCGGCCTGCCTCAACGGAGGCTAGCCATCGGCGCAGGACAGGATTATAGTGCCCAAGTGTATGCGCAAGCACAGGTGCACTCTCTATTCCTTCACTCTCATAATCCGATGGGACGGTAAACCGACACGACCGGAGAGAGATCAGGCGCAGGACCAACGGCTTCACGTGCTTTCCGAGGCACGGGGGTGAGACACCGCCAAATTCCTGACTCCGGGCAACTACTGAGAATTACTTGACGGAAAAACTCAATAATTAATTTTTTGGCCCGACCCGGGATTCGAACCCAGGACCTCATGATCAGCAGTCGCACTACTACAACCACTAGACCGAGGCATATATATATATATATATATATAGTAAAAGTAGTTTTAATCAATGTGTAGTGTTCGCGTAAATATAAGAAATCATTATGTAAAAGTGATGTTGCCTATATAGTATGTAAAATATTATGTCATTAAACTTTTCTATTTTATTTCGTTCATTTTACAGTTAATAACGCGCTCGTGCGTAGAACCAAGCGTATGCGCGCGTGCACCCCACAACGCTGAAAAGAACCGGCCCGGTGGCATCCTGCCTTCAGACTCAGCAAGAGTCATGCTCGTCCCAAAGCCCGGTGTGGAAGGTAATATTCGCAAAATATTAAGCAACATATTGCGAAAAAGTTTTTAAGAAATTATTATAAAAGATAATTTTTTAAAAACTTTACAAAAAGTGTAACAGTGCTATCTTTTATCAAAGAAAATATAATTTATCTGTTTTTAGAGTATATATATGCATAAAATGATCTATCTCGCTCTTTAATTTTTTTACTTTTTTATTTAATTTTTCTACTTTTAGAAATAATCATATGTAGTTTTAAAATATATCAAATATTTTCTCTAAGCAATTAACAATTTCTTCTTACCTTAACATCTTAAGAAATTAACTTCTTCCGTTATTTATTATCCATTTCATTATTGTGCTCTCTGAAACAAAGATTTACCCACGGTAACTGTGATGGATGATTGTGAGATTCGCCATTTAAATATCGGTTGGTATAAGTCTTTTTCCTATACACAGTATGACCTATAACCTATAATGTTATCAGGATTTCGGATGACTAAAACATCTAGGAAAGCAAAATAATCATTTGCTTCTAGCTCCATTGTGAATTTTATCTTAGAGTTTATGGGAGTTAAGGTGGTCTAAAAATGCAGTAACTATGTCTGATGGTAAAATTGTGAAAATATTGTCTACGTAAACGCTTGTAGAATCTGGGATACACAGGTGTAGTGAGAAGGGCTTTCTCCTCGATGTCCTTCATAAATGTATGGGAGATACATTTTATTCCTTCCTCTGTGGTGCCCATTGGAGGCAAATCTCAGCCATGGTTTGGTCGCTCCTGTAAAATAGCATCATGCTATAAGCAGGAGTGCTACCAGGCCTGGGCTGACGCATCAGCGTCCAGGGATGTAAACACCAGCGCTCTAAAAAAGAAGTATAATTCCGCCTCCAGGTCCTTCAAAAGAGTCATTGCCAAGGCAAAGTCAGAGCACATAGGCAGAATTGGCGAGAAACTAGTTCGTCTTCCTTCTGGAACCCGTACATTCTGGTCTCTCGCCAAGGCTGTCCAGGGGAATTTCTGTCAGCCATCTCTTCCATCTCTGCACAGGGAGGACGACTCACTGGCCCACACCGCAAAGGAGAAAGCCGATCTTCTAGGCTCTTTCTTTGCGTCTAACTCGACTCTCGATGACGGGGGGAGTACGCCGCCGACCATCCCGCGGTGTGAGTGCTCCATGCCGGAAGTGCAGTTCACTCAGCGCTCGGTTCGCAAAGCACTCCTCTCCCTGGACATCCACAAGTCGAGTGGGCCTGACGGAATCCCCCCAATTGTGCTGAGGACGTGTGCTCCAGAGTTGGCACCGGTTTTAACGCGTTTTTTCCGGTACTCCTACTCCCTAGGCGTAGTCCCAAAATCATGGAAGACGGCTTTCGTCCACCCGATCCCTAAAAAAGGCGACCGCTCAGACCCGTCCAACTACCGGCCTATCGCCATCACCTCCTTGTTCTCCAAAACAATGGAGTCCATTGTAAACTGCCAGCTCATGAGGTACCTTGAGGATCACCAGCTGATTAGTGACCGCCAATACGGTTTTCGCCGTGGTAGGTCAGCTGGTGATCTTCTGGTCTACCTAACTCACAGATGGGCGGAGGCAGTAGAGTCCAAGGGGGAGGCATTGGCCGTTAGTTTGGACATTGCGAAGGCCTTCGATCGGGTTTGGCACAAAGCGCTTCTTTCGAAGCTCCCTTCCTATGGGCTTCCCGAGAAATTGTGCGATTGGATCACCAGTTTTCTTGCAGATCGGAGCATCAAGGTCGTTGTAGACGGTGCAAGCTCCGATTGTAAGCCTATTAATGCTGGTGTTCCACAGGGCTGCGTGCTATCGCCAACGCTGTTTCTTCTGCATATCAATGATATGTTGCAGACCCGTAACATTCATTGCTATGCAGATGACAGCACTGGTGATGCTCTTTACACCGGCCGAGCCAATATTTCTCGGGAAAACGTCTCCGAGTGCCGGGACAAACTTGTGTCTGAAGTCGAGTCTCTGCTGGACAGAGTCTCGGATTGGGGGCGACTAAATCTAGTCCAGTTTAACCCCCAGAAGACACAAGTTTGCGCGTTAACCGCTAAAAAGAACCCCTTTGTCGTATCCCCTCAGTTTCAAGGCACTCCCCTTGTTGCCTCAGCCAGTATCGGAATCCTCGGCGTCGACATATCGAGTGACGTGCAGTTTCGTGGTCACTTGGAAGGGAAGGCCAAATTGGCCTCTAAAAAGCTTGGCGTGCTCAGCAGAGCGGGACAGTATTTCATGCCGGCACACCGCCTGCAACTTTACAAGGCGCAGGTTCGGCCGCACATGGAATACTGTTCCCATCTCTGGGCTGGGGCTCCCCAGTACCAGCTCCTTCCACTTGACCACATCCAGCGCAGAGCGGCTCGAATCGTCGACGACCGAGTGCTTTCCGATCGGCTCGATTCTCTGGCACTGCGAAGAGATGTTGCATCCCTTTGCATTTTCTTTCGCATATACCATGGAGAGTGCTCTGAGGAATTGTTCGGATTAATCCCAGCCGCCAAATTTCGTGAACGCACTACGCGGCAAACGTCCCGATACCATCCACACCATCTGGATGCTTGGCGGTCCACCACTGTACGTTTCAAAAGGAGTTTTTTTCCGCGTACAACCTCTCTGTGGAATAATTTACCACCAGCGATTTTTCCGGACCGATACGACCTGGGGACCTTCAAGAAAAGAGCTTACTCCTTTCTAAAGGGCCGGCAACGCGTCTGCAATTCCCCTGGTGTTGCAGTTGATCATGGGCGGCGGTAGTCACTTAACATCAGGTGAGCCACATGCTCGTTTGCCCCCTCTTCTATAAAAAAAAAAAAAAAAATACAGGTGAGCCCATCGCCACACCATCTTCTTACTTGTAGAATTCCTTCTTCCACAATAGATAGCCAGATGTGAGGCAGTTTTCGAGTAATATTGCATATTCTTCAGGCATGTTGTTTTCTTCTAGCTACCTGATAACAATTGAGATGCAGTCATCAATAGATAGGCATGTAAATAGTGACTCAAAACTGACCATAGTTTCATTGTCAGCCAGATGTAGGTCTTTTATTTCACTAATAAAATGGTATAATTCCTTGTGTGCTCTGGTATATCCTCCCAGTGGTGACAGTATTTTTGCCAAGCGTTACGGTAGAATACTATAATACAAAATAGAATGGCTGTCAACTTTATTTTGTACGAGGATCGGTGTCGCCGGGAGCACACATACAAGTAATTACGTCGTAGTATCAGTTATCACTACTACAAACACATTTTAGACTTTTGATTAATGTTTTTGACACATCAATATTTCTTTATTTTTGTTTCTAATATTTACAAAATATAAATAGTTTCGACTTACTGGTTGTAGGATATGTCTCCTTTATTTAAATTCCATTTGCCGCTGTTCTTTCGACACGTAATTATTGCACAATTTGCAATTTTTTTTTAAAAAATTGCATGCAGCGACGCTTGACACGAAAATTGGAAACGAATGATTGTGTTGACATTTATAGGTGTGAATTGACATGTTAGTGACATGTTAGTGGCTACACGGGCTCCGCCCACTCCCCCGTTCTATTATGTATACATTATAGTATTCTATGGATAAGACCTTACCTCCGGACTTGATTGAGTAACCTAAAGGTGTATTTTGGTAACCGTTATTGGAAGTTCTCGCCGAGTAGAACCAGGTGTGCCGAGTTTGGGCTCGTTTTGAAAAAAACAAAAAAAAAACCCACCCACCACCATTACCCTCACTTCCCCCCCCCCCCCCTTTTACTTACACAACACATTCAGTTTTTTTTTTACTCTTACCACTCGTAAAAAAAAAACACCACCACATTCTCCCTTCCAAATTCACCAACAAATTTTGTTCCCTTTTTCCTTTTTATCATTTATTCATTTTTGCATTAATTATACTTAGATGTTTCTCGTTTGATTAAAGCTTCGATGCAATTATTAAAATCAAATGTCGTTAAAAGTTTAAAACTGTCTTTAATTTACTGGACAAATTGTCTATGGTATTATTTATGAAAACAGTTCGATCTGCATTTAGTATATCATAGGACTCCAGTTCTCTACACCCAGCATACGAAACACAGCAGCATTGGGATGCTATTTTATGCTGATATTATAGTCGTGAATCCCCTCATTAATATATCATATCGCATTATGCCGGCAGGCAGCGAATACGTGAACGCGTCATGGGTGTGCGGGCGGCGGCGCACGCGCGAATTCGCGGTGGCGCAGCTTCCAAGCGCGCGCGCCGCGCCCGACTTGTGGCGCTTGCTGTGGGACCACACGGCTCAGCTCGTGCTGCTGTTGCACGACCCGCACGACCCGGTACGTACACCCGCACACTGCTACACACAAAAGCGCGCGCCCCGCCCGACCTGTGGCGCCTGCTGTGGGACCACACGGCGCAGCTCGTGCTGCTGCTGCACGACCCGCACGACCCGGTACGTACACCCGCACACCACTACACACGCAAGCGCGCGCCGCGCCCGACCTGTGGCGCCTGCTGTGGGACCACACGGCGCAGCTCGTGCTGCTGTTGCACGACCCGCACGACCCGGTACGTACACCCGCACACCGCTACACACACAAGCGCGCGCTGCGCCCGATTTGTGGCGCCTGCTGTGGGACCACACGGCGCAGCTCGTGCTGCTGCTGCACGACCCGCACGACCCGGTACGTACACCCGCACACCGCTACAACACAAGCGCGCGCCGCGCCCGACCTGTGGCGCCTGCTGTGGGACCACACGGCGCAGCTCGTGCTGCTGCTGCACGACCCGCACGACCCGGTACGTACACCCGCACACCGCTACACACACAAGCGTGCGCCGCGCTCGACCTGTGGCGCCTGCTGTGGGACCACACGGCGCAGCTCGTGCTGCTGCTGCACGACCCGCACGACCCGGTACGTACACCCGCACACCACCCTACACCCACAAGCGCGCGCCGCGCCCGACCTGTGGCGCCTGCTGTGGGACCACACGGCGCAGCTCGTGCTGCTGTTGCACGACCCGCACGACCCGGTACGTACACCCGCACACCGCTACACACACAAGAGCGCGCGCCGCGCCCGACCTGTGGCGCCTGCTGTGGGACGACACGGCGCAGCTCGTGCTGCTGCTGCACGACCCGCACGACCCGGTACGTACACCCGCACACCGCTACACACACAAGCGCGCGCCGCGCCCGACCTGTTGCGCCTGCTGTGGGACCACACGGCGCAGCTCGTGCTGCTGCTGCACGACCCGCACGACCCGGTACGTACACCCGCACACCACTACACACACAAGCGCGCGCCGCGCCCAACCTGTGGCGCCTGCTGTGGGACCACACGGCGCAGCTCGTGCTGCTGCTGCACGACCCGCACGACCCGGTACGTACACCCGCACACCACTACACACACAAGCGCGCGCCGCGCCCGACCTGTGGCACCTGCTGTGGGACCACACGGCGCAGCTCGTGCTGCTGTTGCACGACCCGCACGACCCGGTACGTACACCCGCACACCGCTACACACACAAGCGCGCGCCGCGCCCGACCTGTGGCGCCTGCTGTGGGACCACACGGCGCAGCTCGTGCTGCTGTTGCACGACCCGCACGACCCGGTACGTACACCCGCACACCGCTACACACACAAGCGCGCGCCGCGCCCGATCTGTGGCGCCTGCTGTGGAACCACACGGCGCAGCTCGTGCTGCTGTTGCACGACCCGCACGACCCGGTACGTACACCCGCACACCGCTACACACACAAGCGCGCGCCGCGCCCGATCTGTGGCGCCTGCTGTGGGACCTCACGGCGCAGCTCGTGCTGCTGTTGCACGACCCGCACGACCTGGTACGTACACCCGCACACCACTACACACACAAGCGCGCGCCGCGCCGATCTGTGGCGCCTGCTGTGGGACCACACGGCGCAGCTCGTGCTGCTGTTGCACGACCCGCACGACCCGGTACGTACACCCGCACACCGCTACACACACAAGCGCGCGCCGCGCCCGACCTGTGGCGCCTGCTGTGGGACCACACGGCGCAGCTCGTGCTGCTGTTGCACGACCCGCACGACCCGGTACGTACACCCGCACACCGCTACACACACAAGCGCGCGCCGCGCCCGACCTGTGGCGCCTGCTGTGGAACCACACGGCGCAGCTCGTGCTGCTGCTGCACGACCCGCACCACCCGGTACGTACACCCGCACACCGCTACACACACAAGCGCGCGCCGCGCCCGACCTGTGGCGCCTGCTGTGGGACCACACGGCGCAGCTCGTGCTGCTGCTGCACGACCCGCACGACCCGGTACGTACACCCGCACACCACTACACACACAAGCGCGCGCCGCGCCGACCTGTGGCGCCTGCTGTGGACCACACGGCGCAGCTCGTGCTGCTGCTGCACGACCCGCACGACCCGGTACGTATACCCGCACACCGCTACACACACAAGAGCGCGCCCCGCGCCCGACCTGTGGCGCCTGCTGTGGGACCACACGGCGCAGCTCGTGCTGCTGTTGCACGACCCGCACGACCCGGTACGTACACCCGCACACCGCTACACACACAAGCGCGCGCCGCGCCCGATCTGTGGCGCCTGCTGTGGGACCACACGGCGCAGCTCGTGCTGCTGTTGCACGACCCGCACCAACCGGTACGTACACCCGCACACCGCTACACACACAAGCGCGCGCCGCGCCCGATCTGTGGCGCCTGCTGTGGAACCACACGGCGCAGCTCGTGCTGCTGCTGCACGACCCGCACCACCCGGTACGTACACCCGCACACCGCTACACACACGCGCGCGCCGCGCCCGATCTGTGGCGCCTGCTGTGGAACCACACGGCGCAGCTCGTGCTGCTGCTGCACGACCCGCACCACCCGGTACGTACACCCGCACACCGCTACACACACAAGCGCGCCCCGCGCCCGATCTGTGGCGCCTGCTGTGGGACCACACGGCGCAGCTCGTGCTGCTGTTGCACGACCCGCACGACCCGGTACGTACACCCACACACCGCTACACACACTTACACACGCGCGCGGCGCGCACGACCTGTGGCGCCTGCTGTGGGACCATGTTATGTTTACAGAACGAATAGGTCTGCGTGTACCGAGGAAAGATGACGCTCTTAAGAGGATACCTTGAAAATGAATCAAAGTTTTGGGGGCGTGGCTTATTCCTTTGTCGGTGCTGCTAACGGACGACCGAGGGAGTGTCTAAATTAAAGTGATGCAATGACTTCATAGTACGCAAATTATGAGATAGCTAAACCGAGCAAGCGCTCGGAAAAAATTACATAACCGCCAAACAACATTTTTATTTATTTTAACAAAACTTCGTTATGGATTAAAAAAAACTGGTTTATGAGAACTTAGATATGATTATTTACTATGCCTTAAAATAATTCCATGAATTTATTCGTAAGAATATTGTGGTGTCATGGAGAAATATAAATAATTAGAGCCTACTTTTCAATTTTTTTCTATCGAGAAAATTACATGATATCGTGTTTTCCTTTTATGCAATCCAACGTCATATAGTCAAAATCATATAACAAAGTTTTGGTTTGTAATCTATAAAACTTAAAAAAAAATATGTTAAATAGAAAAACCACCAAATTTTCGAGGTATCACCTTAATGCTGTTGTGTTTGTATAGTGAGTGTAGAGAATCAAAGACCCGTTTTACTAGTAACAAAGCATTTTCTTTTTTTAATCTTAATTAGTCTTCAGGGATGACAATTAGATTCGTAATAGATGATAGGTGTCTTTGGGCCTCAGTATCAGGTGGACTGTGTTGCTGCTCACCCGCGTCCCATGGGTGCGTGAAAAGCAACTATGTGAAATAACACCTCAAATATGACGGATCTAAAATACCATGACCGTCACGAGAAGCGTTGACAAAGGTCCTAGACGTTAGTACTGCTGTCGCCAAACTATTCGCCAAGTGTGGCAATTATAGCAAATTCTATTTAAATTATTTTTTAAGTACTATTATTTAAATATTACACAAATCACATTTTAAATTTAACAATTTGCAGGAATGCGAAGTTTTCTGGCCGACGGAAGAAGAAAAGGAACTATTTGTAGCAAATTTCAGAGCTAGTTTCGTATCGAAAGATATTTATGTCGCCCATAGAAAGATGGACCGGAAATCCCCACCAGCAACCCCTGCGGAACGTGAAATTAATGGTTACAGGCGGCAAGAGAGTAGTGATTGTGCGGATGACGAGCGACTGATCCCCGAAAACAGCTCCCCAGCGACAGATACGGAACCAGCCTATCGATTCGACAGAACAGAACTTAGGTTGGAGAGACTGAGCACCGGCAGCAGGGACTTGTCTGCTCGAAAATCGATAGCGAACGGCGATCTTTTCTCATCCCTTTCAGAGAAAAAGAGCGGACCAAAATCTCCGAAAAGCCCTTCAAAGATGTCGCTGAAGAACTTCAAACTGAGTTCTCCCACGAAGTTCAAGTTCCCCGACTGGGGTACGAGAACGGCCGGTTCTCCACCTGATACAGCACCTCCCCCTCCACCAGTCGAACCCGCTCTCACCGTAGAAGAGGAAACAGAGCTACATAGACCATGTTACATGTTCGAGAAGGTTAACGAAGTGCCGGATCATGTTCCATCCGATAGGGTTATAGAAGTTACTAATGTCAGTGTGCATTCGTTGCAAGATGACTACCAGCTTAGTGTTAAATTTATAAAGTGCAGTAATTGGTTGGACGGTGATACAACAGTGTATACAGCAGGGAAACCAGATGATAACGAGTTTATTAGAGCAGTGCGGCAAACGTGTGGGAGCGAGAGGGAACAGGCGCTAGACAGGCTTATAGAGCCCTATAAAGACTCTTTCGGTCTAATAGAGTTTGTTGCTGGCTGTCAGATGGAGTATAAGAATGGACCTGTTGTTGTTGTGGACAAGTAAGTACCATGTTTAAGTAAGTTTTTGAGGCTTTTAGTGATTAATAAACCTGTTTATTATTGTCGTCCTGACATAAGGTTGCAAATGTTTGGACTAAATCATAATATGTAGTCATGTCTTAAAGAAAAAGTGTCCTGCTAAATTAAAAATTTGACTTGAATTGATTAAAAACTAGACTTGGTAAACTAATTTTACAATTAACTCGCATATATCAACAATAATATTAATAATACTAGTATTTCCATTCAATCTTCCACTTAAGCAAAAAATGCTAGGAGATAATAATTAAATGACTGATTTAAGCTATTTCTAGATTGCTTAATTATTATAATAATTGCTGTTTGGTACTAATGGCCTACTCACCTCGATTCGCCGGACTAATTCTTATGCAATATAGATCACAAGAATGCTTATTCAAAATCGGAGAGGTGACGGTATGGGAAATGCTAGAAAAATCTTTTGAATTTCAATAGTTGAATACAAGCAACTGAATCGACAGATCTCTAAATGCATGCGGCGGGACTTACGCAACTTCAATACAGCTCGTACTGAAGAAGCGATCGAGCGGAGCCAGGGCTCCAAAGTCTGCCAGAAAGAGCTAACTGTCGAAGCTGAAAATTGAATGTGGCAGCATCGTTTCCAGGACACCCAAGATTTTGAGTGAGATTGAGAGATTCTATGGGCAGCTGTACACGTCATCATTGAAGCTACACGCAAGTGAGAGTAAGTCTGAGAGTGACTAGAATGGCTCTCATAGCACTTCAAAAACTGCAAGTCCCCGGGCGAGGATGGAATTACAGCGGAGCTTCTGAAGGCGGGTGGAAAACCCATACTTAAAGTCCTTCAGAAGCTCTTCAAATCCGTCCTCCATGATGGTACTGCTCAAGAGGCGTGGACAAGAAGTGCGGTGGTCTGCGTCGTCAAGAAAGGCGATAACGATCTCTTAAAGAACCACAGACCTATTTCGCTTCTGAGCCGTGAACTGAACGTGCTGTTTTCGAGAGTCATTATAGATTGTAATCGAATAAACTCGCACGTAGACTCAACAACTTTCAGCCTCCCAAACAAGCTGGTCTCCGAAAAGGCTTTAGCACAATAGAACACATACCATTCTCTTCGGCAAATTGTACAAAAGTCCGAAGAGTACAATCTGCCATTTAGTCTTGCGTATGTGGACAATGAGAACGCCCTTAATTCCGAAGAAATTTGGGCAGTGCTGCAGTCCCTACAGTGGTGCTAAGTTGACTGTCGGTATATTCAAGTGCTGGAGCGTTTGTACAGTAGGGCTACGATGGCTATCCGAGTACAGACTACAGAACCGGAGTACGAAACCTTTCTAACTGCAGAGAGGTGTATGACAGGGTGACACAATATCCCCGAAATTCTTCACCGCTGCTATGGAAGACATTTTCAAGCTATTGTACTGGAAAGGATACGGTATTAACGTCAATGGCGAGTACGTCACTCACCTTCGATTGGCCGATGATATATTCCTTATGGCAGAATCGCTGAAAGACCTAAGCACTATGCTCAATGACCTCAATAGTGTCTCCCATCGTATAGGTCTTAAGATGAACATGGACAAAACAAAAGTCATGTGTAATGTCCATGTCGCACCTATGCCGGTGGTTGTTGGGAGCACTGAGCTCAAAGTTGTTGACGAGGATGTTCACCTGGTAAAAATAGTCTGACTAGGTACTACCTATCCGGACTATTTGTCCCAGGTAAACATACTTCAATCGACGGATTTAACTCGGCTGGGCAGTGCTCGGGAGATCAGGACACATCTTCTCGTCAGGCATACCTCAAAACTTCAAAACTAGATTTTACAACCAGTGTGTGTTGCCAGTGATGACCTATGGATCTGAGACGTTGTCCTGTACTGCTGGCCGTATGAGGAAGCTCAAAGTTGCTCAGCGAGCTATGGAGAGTGGAGAGAGTGATAAACTTGGAAATAAAGATATTTGCAGTAGAACTAGAGTAACCGACATAGCTCAACATATTAGTAAGCTGAAGTGGCAATAGGCCGATCATATAGCTCGAAGAACTGATAACCGATGGGGAAGAAAGGTTCTCGAGTGGCAGCCTCGTACCGGCAGGCGAACTAAAGGGAGTCCCCCCACTAGATGGAGTGACGACCTGGTTAGACATGCAGGAAGTGCTGTGGCATTGTGGCATGTGGCATTCCCTGCTGAACATAGGCATCCCTATGTGCAGCAGTAGACTTGTGAAGGGCTGTAATGATGATGATGAGATGAATACAAATCATCTCGTTTGCGGCAGTCGTACAGTACTCTGACCGGTGACGGGCAGCAGCGTGTGCGCGTTAAGTCTGGTGCAGTGATCATTATGGAGCCATGGGTGAAGATTAAGGCAATCCTGCGTACAACGGAAGAAGCTCATGTCCAGTTTTTCATATTTAGGAACAAATAATAATCAAAAGGGGCCTAATCTAGACTAAAGGGATGGTGGTTTAAATTTTCAAAACTGCACTTGTATAAGAAAGCACTCGCAACTTGACTTGACACTTAGTGTCAGGTGACATTTGTGCCTGTTTCTAGACTTTAATCTAAAAAAAAAAAACTAATAATATAGATATGGCGGCTGGAAGGCGCTCAGCTTCTGCGCACTGAGCGCGGCTGGCGGCGGGCAGGACAGCACTGCGGCCGAGTTGTACTGCAGCTGGGCGCTCTCTGCGCACGCACGCTGTGCAGCTGGACCGCACTCTCCCCATTCCCCCACGTCTTCACACTCATCGCACTCGGCAAAGGTACGTTTTCTTCTTTACTTTGCGGCCTCTCTTAATAAAAATATTCTGCCAATGTCCTGTCACTTGTTGAAGTGACAACAAACAGACGTGGTAGAGCCGTGCTACAACTATATTATTGGAGCACAAATGTGTTGGCTCGAAAGTACCACACTCTTACAGAATAATACCGTAAAATAGCAGCTTAATAATGCTGTGTTTCGCATGGTGAGTTTATGGAACCGGATACCATTTTACTGATACCTAGGCATTCTATGTTAGTTCTCAGAGGTGACAACTCATCTGCATTTTTATTCTTAATCGAGGATATATGTCTACGGGCCACAGCATCCACTTGCCATCAGGTGTACTGAGTGCTCGTTTGTCACCCTTATTCTATAAAAAACAATATTGTATTTTATATTTTTGCAGTTAAACTTTTTTAGGTGTGATTTGAGTCAAAATCCCAAATCCCAAATCATTTTTTGACGAAAGATAACGTTTTTAAAAGCCATGATCCATGTACGCAGCTTCCACATTCATAAAGATAGCAACTGACAGTGTATTGTGAGGGTGTGTTACATATTATATACCTACAATTTTCAGACATTATACTTTAATTTATTTCTATTCTAATTTTTATATTAATAATAATTTGTTGTTTTATTTGTTAATATTTTATTAATATGTAGAAAGTATTAAGAAATGAGCGCCAAAGTCGGCAATGAACGAAAGTTTATCGACTAAATTGGCGATATATTGAAGATGGGCTATATTAAGAGTGCTCTTAACCGACGTGCATGTATGCGTGGGTATATGTATGTAAAAGAGACGAGAGCGGTGAATCAGGATCGTGCCAAATGGCAGTTCTTAGTCTCTGCCTACGTAGCTGGACAGGCATGGGTGTTTATATATGTATGTATGTTACGATTATAGCCTAATAAAGTCCACTGTTGAACATCGTCATCGTCATTCTTTCATAAGGAGGATATTTGCCATAGTTGCCACATTAAGCAAGCGGGTTGGCAACCGCATTTTTTTTAATTTCTAGTTGTTATGAGAAAGAGGCTGACGTCCATTTCGTGATTTCTTTCCCTCTATCACCTCTTACGACACCCACGAGACGGTATGTATGTGAAAGATATCAATATTAAAATAAGTTTTACTTTGCCGTGTAATGGCTCCATAAAGTACAAAAGACTATACATGTTGGCCGAGCGAAGGTGAGTACCAATGTTTAGACAACCCTTTTGTCTAGCCTGGCCATTGCTCGTCGTCACACGCCTAGTTGGCTGTATAAGGCACGCCAAACGAACCGTATACACGTTGGCGCCTACAGTAGGCGAACGCCAACGTGTATACGGTTCGTTTGGCGTGCCTTACTACCACTAGAGATCGCTCGCTACGATTCGTCTCATTTCTGAACAGTATCGATTTTTGTGCACGAATCAAAGGCGCTAGACATGTCGATCGATCATTCATTTCTCGTGAGTCGTGACCGAATCATTCCGGTACATTTCGACATGCGTACCGGTACATTCGGATCGATCATTCGAATTTATCATTTCGGGCTCCAGTACCCTACACTAGAAACAATTCATTCAGATTATTTGAGATTCGGTCGGTTTTCGACTCATTCATAATTCACACCAATCACTGGTCAAAAAGGTAAATGGTTGTACCGGAACATTCAAAAACAGATGAATGAACCATCAATAATGTTAAGTGTACCAGCTCAAACGAACGAATCATTCATGATTGACACATGTCTAAAAGGCGCTCGCCTGCACTCGGCAAGTCGTTTCCACATGCTAGTCGGCCATGTCAGTATGTTCACACATTCAAACTTGTCAAACAATTAATTATACATGTTGACCAAGCCATTCCACTGACATTAATACATTGTTACTTCATATTATAATTGTAAATGTATAACGAATATTAATTGTACTGTCAATGTGTAGCATGGTGCAAGTCCAAGCCCGCACTCGCCGGCTGCATTGTTGGCGACGTACTGCGCGCTCGCCGCATACGGCCCAATGTTAGGTGCACGCAACAGCTGAACCGGGTAAGATATTACAAGTTACAACAATGTTTTAGTATAACCAACCAATTTCGGCAAAATTCCATGATAGCGACGCTGATCAAGCCCTCTATCGTACTTTATATAAGTAGCGGTGTGAATCGTGAGTACAAAGTATTAGTACATTTTCCAGCCATGCGATGCGAGCCGTGGTAGCTCAGTAGGTAATCGCTCACTGTAAATTTCGTAGTACGCGAGAAACCCAGGTTCGATCCCCGCCGGCACCAATGAAACCGTTAATTGCAATTTTAAGTGCTGATTTACCACTTACTTGACGGTGAAGGGAAACATCGTAATGAAACCCGCATGTCTGAGAAATAGGAAAAAAAACACTTCGAAGACAACCCACCACCACCATTGGCCCCACCGACTTTCAGGTAAAAAATGGCGTACTGTCATTGAAAAATAACGCAAAAGAGCATAAAACGAGTTGTTTTTCATGTACTTACCATTGGAACGCCACACCTTGACTCTTTTTGGTTTTCCGAGAATGATTAGAACAATCTTTTACGACGCAAGAAGGCATTTTGAAAATTTAAAATGTTCAACCACACGCGTCGCATTCAGATGAATGTCGAAGACCGACTGAGGCTGAATCCACTAGACTGCAATGCACAGCAAAAAACTTTGCTTTGAGGTGCGTTATCTAGTACACGTACATTATACCTAAATGTCCCATGCATACTTTCGTAACTCCCTACAAGTATTTTTATCTTTTCCTTTTCCCAGTTTTACGTCATTCTCCCTTTTAGGGCTAACGACACTATTAATCGAGGCTACCGATGCGCAAACTCGCGCAATAACCCATAGTTCACTCCGTCGTTGACGAGATCCGAGTAATAGATCGGTACTTGAACAGGATGAAATAATCCATCCATCATTTTCGCTCTTAGGTCATCATATACGGGGCATCCCATAGAACGTGCTGAACATCCTCCTCTTTCGTACCACACTCACACATACTAATTTCACATTGTGGCATGTCGCACAGTCTCTTCCGAAAATATCCATGCCCGTAGAGAATCTGAGATGTTTGGTAGTCCGGTGAGACCTAGGTATAGTTCTCAGTCCAAATTTCCCGCTTCTATTTGCTTAACCCTTAAATCCCCATAAAAATTCCATGCAGTCGCATGCGTCCGTCAAATCCCGAGTGGTCGCACTTGACCGCACCCACGCACAGCACTTTAAACCATTAAAACGTATATTTAGACACTACTTTTCTATGAAGAAGTTTGGCATTATAAAATCTATACAAAATTCTCCATCCTATGGTCTAAACAAAAATCAGGTTTTACTTCATTACAAAAAGATTTTATTGTAATTTTGATAACAAAAATCGGGTAAATACTGAGCGGATATCGACAGCGTGAAAATCACAATTATTTCTATATATTACTCGAAATTATTTACGTAAAAAGATAAATTATATTCACACAATAACTTTCATTACAATTTTATAATAAAAAAATTATACTAAACATTAATAAAACACTAGAAAAGTCCAAAAATCAGCACAATAACATTCACACGAAAATGGCGTACGAAATGAACGTAGATTATAAATAAATATCCATAGACTAACTGACTTTTTATTCCACTAGATGATAGAAAATTTCATATTGATTCTATAATGCCAAACTTCTTCACAGAAAAATTGTCTCTAAACATAAGTATTGATGAGTTAAAGTGCTGTGGGTGGGTGCGGTTACACTTTACCTTTTGAATTTTGACGGAATATCGCCGCGGTCAAATTAGGACGCTTGGTAGCTAAGAGGTTAAATCCTCTTTCGGCGCGGTCACACGTCCTATACCTATTTCACCAGCACGGATGACCTCCAGGTCAGCAGGGAGAACGCCAGCCAGCGCCAGTAAGGCCGCCGTGGTTGTGGATCGGTACGCCTTAGTTAATAATATATAAGGACAATTCGCTGCGATCTCAGTAGTACGAAGTGTCCCCCCTTTCCCCCCCTAAGCCGGGGAGGAAACACCAATTTATCGCAGGCCAAAACTCCCTAAAAAAAAAAACAAAAAGACGGAATAAGCTGCCACGCACAAAAATATATGTCAAATATCTCCCCTAGGGTTGCCTTATAAAAGGATATATGCCATACTCAGCGGGTTGACAACCACTGTTTTTTTTTTTTACTTTTTAGTGTTATTAAGACCTGTACATAAAAAGGAAAGCGTCATTTAAGATTACTTCATTTAAAGCAGTAGCACTTCGAGATACTTTTTATACTGCAAGTATGATATGGCGGTAGTACAAAATGGCTCGGCTCAAATTTTTTTATACGTGGTAGAGCCACGCTGCAGCTATATTAGTAGTATAGTTGTAGCACAAATGGGTCGGCTCGACCGGGGAAGGACAACGCCCTCACAGAATACCAGCGTAAAATAGCAGCTTAATGCTGCTGTGTTTCGTATGGTGAGTGTAGAGATCCGGAGACCCTTTTTACTGGAAACGAGACATTCCATCTTAGTCCTCAGGAGTGACAACGCATCTGCGTTTTGATTCTTAATCGAGGATAAATGTAGATGTCTATGAGCCACAGCATCCATTTACTATCAGCCGGACTGTGTGCTCGTTTGTCACCCTTATTCTATAAAAAAAAACGTGTAAAGATTATGCTCTTACAGAACACCAGCGTGAAATAGTAGCATAATGCTACAGTGTTCCGCATGGTGAGTACGAGAACAGAAGATTCTTTTGCTGGTAAAAAAGCATTTCATCTTAGTCCGGTATTCACAGAAAATATAAAGTTTCAACACAAATGTAACATAATATTATAGATCTTGACTCAATTTTGACATTGTGAAGTTGAAATTGTCTCCGACTACCGACAGTAGTCCTCAGAGATGACAACGCATTCACATCAACCACTTACCATCACGCTATCACAAAATCCGAATATGGGGCTGTGTTAAATTTATATTTACACTGTAAATATTCTGGAGTGACTTAGAACTGAAACTCATCGTGCCAACTACCGGAAAGAGCAGAGTAACTTCTGCCGAGCTAGCTAGATTTAGAAAAATATAATTAAACTTTCTTTTTCAGGTAGCCGAATCCGCCTCCGAACTGGTAATGCACAATGTAGCCACTTCCTTGTATTATATACTCAGTGCGTTGTGGTCGCTTCTAGTCCGCTGTCACACGGCCATGTGTACCGCGGGATGCTACCTACGCCGTATCGATGTTAACTTACGTTGCTCGAGATAAACGGGACTATATTTAGAGAAATTCAAGCGGTTTATTTCATAGCCATTTTATTTTGAGTACGTATCAACGACCTGAATGGGCGGTAGACTATTGCTCGATATATTTGTTTGTTTCGTATGAGGTCTACTTTTATTTAAAGTTTAATTGATAAGGCTATTTTTAATTTATGTTAGCCTACCAGAAATAATTATAAAGGCTTTGAAAGCTTAGGCTTTTAAGCACTTCTAAACATTATTTCGTGGTGCTTAAAGTTCATTTTTGCGAACTTGTTTTAATGGGTATTTTAAGATGATTTATTTTATCATGAATTGCAAATAATAGGCAATTTATCTGTACAGATGCAATATGTAATATATTAAATTATACACTTTTACTTATATACTGCTTTGTACTTTATGAAATCGGTCATATTATTATAATCTTTACATAAACGAGCAAGAGCTGCACCGTTCATTGAAAACGCTCAAAATATTAAACAAATTATTTAGTAGAAATTATTATATATAATTTTTCGTCTAAGGCTTCTTCTCTTATGAATTATTATGCGGTTGTGTGCAGTATAAATATTTTGTATCGGCATCAGAGCAAAGACTTTTCTAGCATTTTTTTTAAATATACGGCTTGAGGAAATGTATTACGATTCCTCATCTACAGTGACGTTTCCTTTACTTGTATTGACCGTAAGATACTTTGTTTCGTGTTTCAGTTACTTCTTTAGTCTGAAGTAAACACTCATATAAACTCTATTCTTTCTTTTTTCCCTTAATTTTTTCGTCCCGTAGAACTCCACTGTTGATCATGGGCCATTCCCAGTGTATGGAGGATTTTCTTTAATCGTTACGATTGGGAAGCGAACTCACGATTGTAGTGCCAGATATCTCGCAAATCTGACGCTGGTCTGGTTTGGGTTGGCCAAGATGAGTTTCTACGATGGTTGACGCTATAGAAAACTATAAAAGAGAACGGGAATGATATCTGAACGTTAAGTCAAGTGACAGTCATCTAGCGTTGATCGCATTTATTTTTATAGTAGAATATCATCTTAGCTGTCTGCGCTAGTTATTTTACGTCTGAGGTAAACGAGATGGTTGTACGCATAGAATACTATAATACATACATAATAGAACGGGGGAGTGGGCGGAGCCCGTGTAGCCACTAAAATGCCACTAATACGTCGCATCTCGTGTCGTAATTTATTCACACAACCAATCGCACACAACACAATCGTTTCCAAATTTCGCATGCAAATTATTTAGAAAATGGCAAATTGCAGGCTATTTACAAATAAAATAAATATGTATTAAAATCCGTCTGTCAACACAGTGAATCGGGTTTGTAGTAGTGATTAACTGATAATACGACGTAATTGCTTATATGTGTGCTCCCGGCGACGCCGAATCTCGTTCAAAATAAGGTTGACAGCCATTCTATTGTGTATTATAGTATTCTATGGTTGTACCTCCTCCAATCGGAAGCCAATTAGCTTTTCCTGTTTTACTTCGTCGCCACTTATAACACGCACAGGACGAGATGGGAGATTATTTTCTAACGTCGCCACAGATTTTAAACTCGATACATTACAGTTATTGTATATTTTATTAACAGATAAAGTTATCTGACACATACAAAACAAGACCGCTCGTCCGCAAATAGCATGCTGCCGTACATATGAATATAAATCTTCCAAGTAATTTATCAGCTAGCACGTTCCTAGTAAGTATGTCCAGCAGCACAAAAAAGGGAGTTATTAGCTTAGATTG